TATATATATATATGTGTGTTGATTCGTGCTCACTTCATGTTATTCGTATGTGCGCATATGTTTATATGTGATGCTAAAAGACCGTAAGCATAGACGCTAACGTATGAAGAAAGCGTTAAAACTGCAGCATTCATTCATTGGAACGTTAGAAGAGGCACAGATGGATGTTTCGGTTCCAAGCGAGCACCAACTGATATATCAACGTTTACACATACCAACATATTCTTTTGCTAGCGTTCAGCCCATTTCAGTTTTTGTGTTTACATTTTTACAAGTAATTGTGCAGTTCAAGTTGGCAAACTCGAAACAGCGTTTCGTTCGTGCACATTTGCAAGTTAGTACCTTGGCGTGCTAAACAGATTGTGAAAATAGTTTGAAGGAATAGTTAAACAAATAATTATACATTTATATGAATGTCTTTAATGAAATATCATTCCCATTGTCTTATGATTAATGCAGTCTGTTGACGAATTTATGCGTTCCATTCGTTGTTGTATATGAATTTTATTTTTGTTTGTTTGTTGATGTATGGGTGGGTCATGATGTTGATGATAAACGCAGTAATGCAAACAAAATGCATGATACACGACGATGAGCGCATGATCGCACTTCACATTGCATCACATTCATTGTGATTCCCTTCCTTCACTCTGTTCCGTGCCAGTTTTTTCGTCTTACTTTTCAGTCATTCTCGTTCCAGTACCTCATCCCGATCCCGTTTCGATCTTGGAAGCACCAATGGCTGTTTAACAACCATCAGTTCACGTTGGTCGCTGGTTGGAGCACAATTCCTAAGGCTATGACTATGCGTTTACCTCTTTTTTTTTTGTTTGAAGTCTGAACGTTACCTTAATCCCGCCCCTAAGCTTAAGCCCATCATCTCAGACAACTGCAAGACACGTAATCTAGGGAATTGTCAAAGTACTCGTTTGCTTTTATTTCGTCAATCATCGTTTGCTAAGTCCGTCTTTGCCAAGCTGAGCTAGCTAATCAGTCGGATGGATGATTGAAGTGATCAGCTGATTTGATGTATTTTATAATTCTTCACCGGTTCTCAAGCCATGTTGAATCTGCTCCTGAGATCAATCATTAAGTTCGCATTATGGAATTAACATGTGCAATTATTTAGTTTCGTTCACATTATGTTTTACAAATGGAAAAGGTATTTTGATTTACCATCGGTAATTAATCGTTCGCCCATTATTATGTGATTATGTGCATGAAAATAATACGTCACACTTCATCGTCGAAAGCTGATTCATTTTTCTTGTGATACAATTGATTTTATTTCAGAACTTTTATACTGCATTCATTTCCTCATCTCATTGATAGTTCGTGTGTATTTGTACGGCGGCATCGCGTATTTGCTGCTAGAGCAATAACTTCGCAACGATAACAACTGAATTATTCATTAGACCAAGAAGACAACCGAACTATTCCAGAATCAGATTACAATCAGTATCGGTTCTGACCAGTTTTTTGACTCAATTCGTTGTAATTGTCTTAATCGTTATCCTCACTGGTTCCATTCATTTCTGTAGCGATTATCCAACTATTGAAGCTACTACTGCTTCAACGCCATTCTAAGGAATAGTATTTATAGTTCTAACTGTAACAGTAATAAACAGAAGAATGTCTTTTTTCGACGGAAGACAACCAGCAATGTTCGACGTTAAAAAACGTCTTGGTAACGTGGAAAGGAGCACTATCGATGAGGCAGACTCTGCTCCAGGTTATCAAAACTTGATTCTCATTATCAGTGCTATCCGTATTGTTATTATCATGATATGTCATTAATATTATCACTGTTAATATTTTGTGATTGCAGAGTCATGGGTGGAGTTGGCCCCATCGCGTGCGTCCTTGTGCAGTAGCGTTGATGCGTTGGTGATGATTGATGCAGATATAACAGCTAGGGAAGGCAGTAGGCAAAGGTACTTACTTGTTAATAATTGCAACAATATTTAGCACTTACAATGATTCGTTACGACTCTGTTATCACCAATCATAATGTTTGAGTTATCAGTAAATTATTCCATTCTTCCTTCCTTTTCACACCTAACAATATCAGCTGTACATGAAACCATTCGAGCATCTCCAGGAAAAACCTATCTTTCTCATTAATAGTAATGCTAACGATATTTTGCAATAATATTACTTTTGTTATTTCATGCTATCACTAATGCTTTTATTCTTGATAGCTTTAATCTATGTATTTCCCTCTTCAGTCCAGTCAGCCTCCAGAGTCCACATGTCGAATTCGAGCCAAATTTGGAGCAAGTGAAGTTTCGGCTGACGCAAGATTTGCCGTCGTCCAAAAATGCCGATTGGACATGGTATTGGAGTAGCCGACCTGAGACACATCCACCAAGGTTAGATTAGGAAATGCATATTTCTATTTTTGTTGCTGTCATTATTATTATGACTGTTAATGCTATTGTTATGAATGCATTCAGGTCAGTGCGGCAACGTTCTGGTCTACTAGATTCTACACTCTCGACACCTCCGAATAGTCCCGAGCCGGAGAGTCTAACAGCATCATCTCCAGTGGAATACCATCGAAAAGCAATCATCTCGAAGTCATCGTCACTGTTTCGTTTGGACATTCTTTTCGGTTTTGTCGTTTCCAATCTTGTCACTTTCATGCTTGGCGCCGCGATCGGGTTAGTTATCATTATCCTCATTTCTTGACTGCAGTTAAGACGACTGAAAGAACCGTAATCGTCCACATTTCTGTTGTCATTATTGGTCGTATTTTCAGATTTTGTGTTTGCAAGAAATTGGTCCGTAGTCAGAAGGAAATTTGAGTGATTCGTGTGGAAAATGTAATCAAGCGTTATGTTGGTGATTGATTACATTGCGGCGTCATTTCATCGATACGATACGTATATACCCTCAGAAATGTATTTAATAAGAAGAATAACAATTATAACATCTACCAATCTGTCTGTGAATAACGACATTCTTTGTTTATGTTTTCTTTTACCGTTCTTCTACTCCTCACTGTAAAATAATTCCACGTTTCATTCTTACCACTATTATTATTATTATCAGTATTGTTTTCGATGTTGTTGTTCAAAATGGAGCCTTCATTCAGATGGAGGATGCTGCATAAATAACTGAATATGTAAATAATCGAACGATTCTTATTGTTATCATTGTTATTTATTACCATATTGTTTATTATTGCCATCTTCCCGCATAGGAATGTGGCCAAAACGTATCCGTTATTACAAACAACTTCTGTTTCAATTATTATCCTTACATGATCACACCTAATAAATGCGTTCCATTTTAAACATACCACTTTCACTGTTTTGATGCATTTGTATTTGTTTACGAGAAATTCATTTTCTTTGTGTTATGTTCTGCGGACTGTGGCGTTAAACTGCAGTGAAAATAGATTAAGTTCTTTACAAATGGATTGTATACATTTCAAGTCCGCGTATGAGAACAGCTCGAATTAATGTTGTCATTAGGCTTAGTCGTTGAATCAATATAGTTATTTGAATATTACCAAATCAAATTCAATAAAATCTCGCAATCAGTGAATTACTCAACCGACCATTCTCTTTAAAAAATCACTTCGTTACTTCATCTCCATGGAATTGTTTCCTTGGTAATCTTTTTATGATCATTGTCATCGCGATTTTTATGATTGCTGTTTTCATTGTTATTCGCATCAAAAATCGATTTATCATAATGTATGGCCTTCGAAATTTTGGCTCTTCTCTCGGTTTGTCATTATTGACCTTTGTTCTTTTATGATTGACAGTTTTAGTGATGTAATTAATTTGCCTGCACTTACTGTCCTCTTCATGTTCTTCATCTTGCATTCAATGCGACTTTGGTTTGTGAGATGTGCACACGTCGTTCAATCACTAAACATGTGCATGATGTATATGAATACAAAGCAGGTACCAATAATATTTCATGCTGTGTATATTAACAAGGATGAAAGTAATGAATAACCGTAAATTTTTTTGTATGAAATTTCTTTCGTTTTCTATACTCATATTTGTGGTGAATGGTAATATTAATAATGCAATTCAATTATCCGTTTGTTTATTTGATTATTAACGGCTAATGACCAAACTGATCAGCTGTTCGGGCAAGCGGTCTTCGATCGATCATAAGTCGGGGTTTAAATGTTTTCATCAGTGATCGATCAGAATTTAAGACATCAACGATCATCGATCAAAGATTGATTCTTTCTGTAAATTGGTTCACACAGACACCAGAAATTTGTTTACTAGAATGAATGAACGGATGGATTTGTTTTACTCATTGTCAGAAACAGATAAATACAGACATCGTACAGATAACAGAATGAAATCAATAACGGTTCCTTTATCATCTGTATAGCACAAGCGACAGAGGCGTAAAGGCCTATATGATATGGTAAAGTAGGAGCGAGATGAGGCGCAACATCTAGAGCCCTTTGTTGAAGAATAACCGTTGTGTTTGGATATCGTGACCCGTTTGATTTTGCACGATCTGCTTATATGCTTTTGGCTCGTAACGACGCAATGTTTCCATAGTTATACTGCTGCAAAAGAAGATTAAGTGACTCATTTACTGTTGAAAATTTGACGAATAATTATATGACTGTTCATGGTTATTTGCTAAGATCTGCGTCAGGAATGGCTTATGTTAATGGAGTTGACAGTGATAACATCGCTTCGAAGAGGAAAATCTAGTTTCTCAAAAGTTGGTTCATTCTGTAGTGATTATTCATTAGATTCTTCATTTTCTATTCTATCATCACTGCGCTCATTATTTCGACGAGATGCTAACCTATGAATAGGTTTGTTGATTCCTTATGGGATTTCCGTGTTTTTGGTTTTGCTAATGCTATTTTTGGAACCTTTTCATTTATAATTCCAGCTAATACACATGTATCGATCCACTCTTTTCAGGCGAACAAAACTGTAAAACTTACTTTTTCTGTGGATAAAGTGCACATCCGACTGGTACCATTGCTCCGAAACTAGAATAAAATGTATTAATGAAGAATCTTGTAGTTTTCGGCGGGTAGTTGTCATGGATAGACGTAGTGCTGTGCGAGGAGAGAAGAAAAGTCGGGGACAGGGAGAATCGGGCACATTTAGGGGACGGGGACAGTCTCCGAAAATGGCCGCGGCTCCGAATTCGGGGACTCTCCGCAGAACACTAGTTCAGTAGCCACTGTACGTTTCGTGCACATCAAATAAAGAATTGTTCAATGATAGTGTAATCCTTAATCGTTAAACTAGGTGGGAAGTAATAAGGCAGCAAATCATGCTCAAAACCAAACACCCATTGAGGTAAACTAGAACATTCTCGGATCATGTCTGTATGCATATGTCTTTCAGCGTGAACAAAAGAACATTTGTTGGCAGTAAACGAAGATGTATACAGATTTTAAATGATGCTACAAAAATGTGCCACATTAAACTGCCTTTCGATGAATCGCAAAAGCGCAGTAGAAATAATACTATCATATTATAAATACGTACAGTGCAAAAGTGAGTGCAAGTTGAGTTGGAATATTGAAGAGTCGAAGATTACGCGCGAACCACTTGAATTTCCAACATAACAAATCCACTATTGATGGTGTGAGCACTGTAAAGAGGAGCTGTTTGGATAGAGATGTGTTGATCAATAATAAGTTAGTGAATAATGATGAATTGAATAATGCAAGTACTCACTCATGCTTGGTGCCACAATAACATTACGAGAGATAACAACCAATGAGATTGCTTTATAAGCAGCCAACTGTAAACGCACTTTTGAAGAATTTATACACTTTCATTAGTCCATTGTTTGATCAGTTCTTTGAAATTATTTTACACGGTTGTATGTAACCAGATTCAGATTTTCCTATTTTGAATGTACGTAAATTATTGAGTAGCAGAACAATGCTTATTCTTATAGAACCATTCGCTCACCTTCGAACGTCCCACTTCATTGTTTTGCTCATCAGTCAGCAGAAGTCCGTTTTTCAACTCACTAAAACATGAAATTAAGGAAATTGAGAGCACCCTCAACAGCAGCAGCAGCAGCATCTCAGAATATACTTCACAAGCCAACTTACTTTTGTCGCACCAAAGGAATATTGATTGCATTCGCAACTGCAACAGCAACAAACGGTACCAAACGTTGCACTGTTATTGAATAAGCCTTCTGTAATCAGTATTAGTGTATTGTGTCATCTATTAACACCAGAGTTGGGCGAGTGTCCATCGAGTTTTGGTAACTGATACTCTCAGATCAACAAAATGACAAAACATACCCTCGCAAAATAGTACTTTAAGCCTAGTGCTACGCCAAGTGCTCCACCTACACCCGATGTATAGGCCACAAAAAGATCTCTGAAATGCGACAAACCCAAAAGTACATATTCGTTAATGAAGTTTTTGATTACTTCAGGTGTTATCATTGGTGATTATTGATTGTTAGCAAAAAATGCTTTTGAAATCAGCAGCAATAAAATATGTCTAAAGTTACTTAATGCAGAAACGTTTGATACATTTTGAAATTGTTTCACCGCGAGGATGGTATCTCCCTTCCTTCCTTACCTCCCCTTCCCCCCCCCCCCCCCTTCCATCTTTTTTCCCCATGCGTGTTGAAGCTTTATTGACACCATATCTACTAGCGTAATGTTTGAGTATTGTTGATTTTTAATCAGCTCACTTATTGCTCATAGCACTTTTTGCGTTTCGATTGGTGTAGTTGACAAGTGCGTTGAACGATTGATTTGCCCATTGCCAGAACACAACTGCAGGCGTTGATCTGAAGAAGAACAAGGAAAAACACTGCACACTCGAACTACGTGAAATGGAGTCAGCCACAAACGAGCTCAAAATGTGCTGTAAAACATTTCTTTCATAACTATCTGAAAAGTATGAGTAAATGGAAAATTCGGGTTGATTTAAACTCATCACAATCAAACACAACCGTCGGTGATCATGTATGCTTAAGGAGAAAGTTCTGCTCGAAAGCAAATGGTGTGGTATTGATAATAAGAGCTGTTGTTGATTAGAGTTTTTGAAGTGTATGATCGAAGATGAGTAAATTTCTACGTAGTGAAGTATGAAATGAGGAACAAGCACAACTGACTTGTACCAAATCATCATTGCACCACAAAGAATCGTACCACCATAAACGTTTGCACACATTCGTCCAGCTATGTTCTGTAATTCGCCTGTATCTGGATGAAATGCTGATCCATAATAGGATTGTGCACGATACAAATCCTCTAAACGTGTTCCTCGCGGCTCCTTACCAGCCCTTCAAATTCGCACTTATTGCGCTGCGATTCGAACTTTTCGAATAAGAACGAGATCCATCCAAGAAGATCATTTCCCGAGGAACTATGATACATACATAGTGGCAATAATATTACTAATAATAATAATAATAATGGAACTGAAAAATAATTGAATAAGTAAATAGGTGGCTTGCTTATATTGTTGCAGAAGCAATTTACTCTCGTTGAGTGTTTTGCTCGAAGTAAAAATCTTTCGCGGATCTGTGATACTCGCGAAATGACACAATCGCCCATAGAAAGTGCTCTGATCCCATCTGAAATAAGACAACAAGCAAAATGTTATCAATCCACTTACACAATTAACTGACTCCTCAATCCTCTACCTAAATCCGATTCGATATTCCGAAAGCCCCACTTCTCCCCCCCCCCCTTTCCTTTCTCATTCGATCTAAATGATCTACCTATCTTTATTAATTTGTTGACGGAGGATGAAGGCTGCAGTTAGTTGTCCTGCGATGGAAGCTTGGGCCCGAATTCTGATACGTTTGATAAATTCAATGAATGCGTATACAAGAATATTTTCTTTATATATTGATGACAAATACAATAATAAGAATGAAAATAGAAATGTATAACAAAAGATAACTTGGTTCATCGACATTGTATCGTTGATTAATGAATGTGTTAGTGGTCATTGTCTGTTTTGACGATAACAGTTTGGTGGATTAGTTAATAGGTAAAATTTATATTCACAGTAGAGTAGTTAGGTTGTTTGATGTGCAAATATATATCGGATCTATATATACGTGTATATCTGCAACTATATGTACAGGTTTATTATTGCTGTTGTTACGTAATGGTCTTGTGAGAAGCCAAGAGATCAGGATTATTATGTAGAATGATGATAATAGCAATAGAAATAATAATAATAATAATAATGACAATAATAATAACAAATGTATAAGGAACTAGTATAATCGTGGGTACAAATTAATGTAAGCAATCTCCGTCACTGTTGTGAAGTTGCTGCTGTGTTGTTGCACATTCAAGTGAAATATATCTGTGGGTGCGGTGTGTTAAGTACTGGAATTTTTTTTGTTTTTTTATCATCACCACTATTACCGTTATCAATCGCCTTTGTATCACCATCAGTATTTGACTGTTGAATTGATTTTATTCATCGCTGTTCCATCGTTTGATGCTGACTCAGTTTTTAATGAATTTGTCGATCAATTAAGGCCAAAAATCGGCACTTTCACAAAAGTGAATCGAGAAAAACGATGGAGACGAACATTGTTTGTGGAGTAAGTGCTGTTCATCATGAGGATTACACATAGGCACAACGTATAAGCGAGTATTTTTTCGTAGTTGAATCGTAAATCATTTAAAAGCATTCTATTCATTTTATTGACGCCAGAGATCAATACTTCATCGATTAAATTTGAGTATAATGACGACTTGAAAAAAGGTGGTACGTCCTGATTGTCATTCTGAACGCTAGAATTATATGTGAATGCATCCCACTGGCAAAATGATCATTTTGCAATAAGTCATTGTAAAACAACTTCTACACGAATAATAAATTTATTACAATCAATAAAATATGCAATAAGGTACGATACGGTAAAAATGTTGAATTGTTTGATTTATAGGAGATGAAAAGGAAGTTTTAAAAACAAAATGTTAACGATAACAATAATAATACGGACACGAAACGTACAACATAAATACACGCACAACAGACACACCGCAAAAAAGTGACTGACTGAATCAATTTGTAAAACAACGAAATAAATTAAAACTGAAATAAAAATTTCAAAACTACACGAAAACAATAACACATATACGATTGGACTTTAATGCATAGTACATGAACAATCGATAAAATAAACGTACTTTCATAAGAATCTCATATGAACACAAATGAATGTTTCTCAGTAATATTACAAACAGAGATACTGACTGCATCAAAATTGCGCAGATAATGATAAGATAAGATAAGATAAAAACAACGATACATGATGATGCCGAGGTTTGGCACAGTATAGCAAGAGTTTAGCGATGAGCTGATAAAATGAGAACTTAATTATGGTGATGACATTATTAATGAAGTGTTACATAATAATGAATATATGTATATTGCAATATTTCTCACGCTCGGAAGTTCCATTAACCCTTCTATGATCTGGTAGGCAGTCATTCCCCCTCCCCCTCCCCCTCCCCCTCTTCACTACAATTTAATAATTCCGTGCAAAACGTTTGGAGGAAATCAAAAACCGGTTCACAAAATCATCGATGGCGTTAAAGAAATTAATTTTATGGAATAAAACAAGTAATTTCAGAACTATATTTACCAATCGCAGGAAGAACAAGAACCTCAGCATTAACCACAAGCAATGAAAAAAAAAACATTCATCAGCGATGGAAAATTTGAAATTGAAGAATAAGTTCATTTACACCCTCAAATTAACCAGGGGGTAATGTACCTCCTATGAGAAACACTGGTATATTGTAATGTTACCCATACGAATGGGTAACGTGCAGTGGATAATATACCACGTAAACATAAACATTAAGAATGAATAATCACTTCAATGAGCACTATTATTGAATGGGCATACGTATGTGGCTGGAAACATACCCGTTCTGTTATTCAACGTACCTTCCCACCAATTATCATCATCTCGATTTGTCACTGCAAAAAAAAAAAACTACGTCAATTAAGAAATAAACGATATAACATCGACTGGTGTAGAACAAAAGCAAACCTGTGATAATTTCACCACGCTTGAATGCCAGTTCACCATCTTCCATTGGCGTAAAATCGAACATGGCTTGGACGAGTGTCGTTTGCTGTGTGGTTGCACTGTCCATATTTTGCAATAAAATTGTATGTGATCTTGATACTGATGCACTTCTGAAAGTTATTATGCATTTCATTTCGTAATTCCTTCAACAACATTCTCATTTAATGGTCACGAGATCATATCTGTAAGATTCATCTCTTTACGACAGCTGTCTCGCCATAAATGATATGGCGAGATCACACTGTGAAGTGAAACACGCACACACAATACCAGCGTTTCTCACGGGAGTAATTTGAGGATGTCAGAGGAGTAATTGACGAGGTCTGTGAACTTTTATTTCGTGGAGTTGTTACGTTATGATGGAACGCTACTGTGACGGTGCTTTTTTCATTTATTTATCTAAACGTGGTATTTTTCTGCGGATCATTAGCTCGCCTAAGCTTGAACAAAAGTCAGTTTGAAATTCTGGCCACTGATGATTAGATCATATCCGAGAAGGCTATATGGGTTCTGCTACTGTTTATGTCAACCGATTTACGCAAATCCAGATTTCCTGCAGTGTTACTTTTGAAAGCAAAACATCGATCTGGATTGGTGACTGAAAGCGATTTGCGTCGCTCTCTTCGAAACGCACCCCGACGCATCCCAAAGCCGGTCAATGAAGTATGCTCTCCTTCTTGCTCCGTTGGGCACGAACTTGAATTCACTTTCGGAACCGTTTTTGTAATATGCTCATATTCACTTCGTTGGATTAATCAGTCATGACTTTTAGTCGTTAATGTGACCGAATAACCGAATGAAAATAAGTTCACAGTTATTTTTATTTATACTTCAAGACTCATGAGTTTCAAATCGTTCGAGAATTTTTACTTCAACTGAATGCTACATTCATCAAGAATTCTTCATCGGGTTCAGATGATTGATTTCATGTTTTCTGTAATACTTGCATTCGATGTTATCAATTTCTTCTTTTGGTTTTTGATGATTTCTACTTCTTCAATCGATTATGAATGTATTTTCAACTGGTGAACGGCAACATTACTTGTGAGATTAATGACTAGAATGCTTGAAAGTGTTTCCTTCGTACATGTTCAATGGAGTTCTGATCATTAAAAAAGAATGGGAATATAAAATGTCAGGCTTTGTGCACTTGTCGTATCTCAAAACCCACGGCAGATTAGATTTATATTCACCGATTCATGAATGTTTACTTGTTGCTTAACTTTATGGAACGATTGCTTTTCCACTCATCTCGAAGATAATTTCTCAAACTTTTACTGTAACTCTTTTTTTCATGAACCGATGAACCTAGCAATAAATTTCAATTTTTTCATTGCTGACGAATGTTTTTTCCATTGCTTTTCGCTATTAATTGCTGAGGTTCACGTTCTTTCTACACTTACTATTAGTGAACGAAGTTCTAAAAATATTTTTTTTGCTTCGGAAAACTAATTTCTGTTATCGAGGTATTCCCAGATCGATTTTCAACTTGCTCTCGTNGGGGGGGGGGGGGGGGATAGGGGGGTAATGACGGCCCATTAGACCATCGAAGTGGACAATGCAGCTTCCAAGCGTTAGAAACACTGCACTATACAATCAGTTTGTAGGCTTCCCACGAATGTGTTTTGGCCTTGTTCACTTGAATCTAGCCTTCCGCTTATATGGATACAAAATTTACAAGTTGCCCAACTTAAGGAAATGCACAGAAAAATCCATATACATTTCAGTTTCACACATACAAATTCCACTATCCCTTTCAATTATTTCACACACACACACACAAATTCCAATACTATCAGTTCGTAAGCCACAATCCTAATAGCTTACAAACTCAGTTCGTGCTTTGCGTTAGTATTGTGTTTAACTCGCGCGACACACATGTATTCGGAAAACCATATGGGTGGGCTGAACTCCATTTTGATCATAATAGCCTTTTAGATTGTACGACACTTACCAACCCGTCTTGCGTAGTTGATACCACCTGCAAAACATAACTATTTAAATAGTCTAATTAAGCACAAACCTGTGGTAATTGATAAGTTCGTTGAGACTGTTGAATTTTACGAACCACAGATAATATTTGCCATTGTTATCACGAAGCACCTTGAAATGTTGTACCGCATTTTGAAACCTTAAAAGAATTAATTTATAATTGACTTTGGAAGAAAACATTGAACGGTAAAGAGTGTGCTACTGAAAAAAACTCAGTTACCTCACTGAAATACTAAAATCGCCCGGCGAGCTTTCTGACTGTCTCACTAAAAACGCACCATCTCCGTTACCGGGCCTCAGCAATAATGCTTCCGCATCAGCACGACTTATTTTGCCCAAATACCTTAAAATCATTTATTCCTTCAACGAATACAACCCATCACCAGTTTCCTTGCTTAACGTCCCACTATCTAAACATCCAATAAAATTAATGCAGAAATTCGTGTGGAACATGAATTCAACGATCACAGTGCTATATCTGTAATGCATAAATAACTGCACGTCTAATCTTTCTTTATCCAAAAGCTCTGTGGCAAGTGATTCGTAAAAGACCAACCAGTCGTGTTCGCTCATTTTGATGTAATTACTTGGCACAAAACCCTCTTGTCCATCCAATTCAGCCTTATACCAGTGCGGATCTTCATCTTTATTCAACACCTATTCAAAAACAGGACTATTTCAGTCAGGCTCCGAAACAAATTAAAAGCAATAAATGATTATATTCACAAGAAATTCTCAAGCGCAACGATATATATTGACAAAAATGACAAATAATGAAAATGATAAGAAATACTGAATCAATGAACCAACTTTAAGAATTTGTGATTTTCGAAAGCTTAATTCATCCTCAGCTGTTGCCGTGAAGTCATGCTCCGCAACGGCTTCCATTTCCTTAGAAACTCGTTATTTAAAAATTATTTTCGTCCAATCGAAAGCGTCAAAACTGCTGACCACATATACAATAAACAGAATCAATAATATTCGTTCCAACGATCAATTTCCTTACTTCATCCATGCATCTAGCAGTGAATAAAACTTTCTTTATGGATGTATCTCTCAAGATCCTCTCCCCTACAAGCATAGTTGAAAACCTCGTGCAACTTCTTCAAGCAGCAAATAAACACGAAAACGAAAAAAATCGAGTCGACTGGAACGTCACCAACGTCGCACTCAGCCCTTCAACGACCGATAGAACGTTGACCACAAATCGTTGCACACACACACACACACACACACACACACACATACACCCTCTCTCTGTGTGTCTGTCTGCCTGCACACACAAAACTCTACCTGTGCACGTCTGCCCAACTGAATAATGCTCGTTCCTATTGCCTTCTGATAGATACTGCTTAATCTTTTCATAATCAGCATGCTAATCTCTTCGCTTTTGCTTTTCCTGTTCACTTATGGTTTCCTCTCGGATTGTTTTGGCAATAAATGCTCAACTTTATCGTTTATAGCCGATCTCGTTAAGCCAGATTGTCAAAAGGCGGAGCCAATTTGCTTGAGTACATCAGAGGTGTTATAACGTTAGAACTAGGATTGGGTCGGTGGCCACAGAACCGCGAGGACCCCCAAAAATTCGGTCAGTAAGTACCAGCCGAAAATCTTGATCCCAGATATTCGGGGCCTCCGACCGCAACCGAAAGGGCTGGTTACGTCGGAGGCCTCGGTAAACCGAGCTTCGGTTACCAACGATCAACACCGACCTATGCCCAAAATTTTCCTTTCAGTAGCCACCGACATTGCATTCGGTCGGAGACCACCGAAGAAATCTGTTGGTTCCAACCTCGTTACATACAGTATGGTTCTGAGTTTGTAAGGAATTCCATAACACGAATAATTTGTACAGCAATGAATAATCCTGGCAAATTGAGGTTTTCTGAGCTATATGATTAGTCGTTTTATTACTTTATTCCAGTGTGGTGCGGACGGAAAAAAAGTCGAGGAAGAAGTTCTGCAGTCAGGGACCCCAAAAATGCGGCCGAGTCAAAAAAAGTCGGGGACGGGGTCTCCGGCTATTAGTTTTGCAGGGACGGAAAAAATCGGGGAAGATCGGAGATGAAATTTTCTAGTCGGGGACCCCTAAAATATGGTCGGCAACGGGAATTGGGATTCCGGAACGGGGTGCCCAAAATTTCCGATCCCCGCACCACACTAGCTTATTCTGTTCCATTGTTCTTTCTATTTTCCGTAATTTGTATGGCAGTGATTCACTTTTAGTTGGGATAATTATCGCACTCATTGTTTTTAAAATTCATTCTCTTGTCGTAAAATCGAATTAATGCAAATCCATCATCACTTAAATGTGGTTATTACACCTATCTAAACTGTATAAAATTCAAAACTATTGTTTTTTGAAATGGTACATGCATGCGCGAGTAATATTTTTCATCTGTTTCATAGATTTTCAGCGTAGTGAAGCATTTTTAATCTGATCACTCGGCTGGTCCAGCTTCTAGCTGAGCCCAACAAAGAGCTGCTTTCCAGCCCGGATAAATAGGGAGAGGAAAGTGTTTGTTGCAGTCGAATTCTTTCTTGCACACTCGTTCTTACGGTGAAATTGGCTCCGCCTATCGGTTCTTCCAGTCCGCCTCTTAGCCATGTGCATCGTTTTATTAACATAGGTAGATACTCTTCATAGGTAATTCGTTATAAATGAATATAAACCTGCTTGAACATCCAATTGTTTTATCTTAGCAACGAGAATAGACTCTAGGCAGTGTAGGCCAAAATCGTTATAGGCGTAATGATGAAAGACAACGATTGATGATGTTATAGATACATTAATGAGAGTAAGCCTAAGCCTAAGACAGCGCTTATTCATGTGCCGAAAGTATGAATCGAAATTCTTGTGGAAAATTTGTTTGCAACCGCATGCGCGATAATTTTAATCTAAACTCAGTGATTATCCAGACACTGTGCTGTCACGTTGATAGTTTTTTATATGTATTGAATGCATAGGTTCAATTAATGAATGAGTTGTTTAATTTATGTTTTTTTGGGAATCAGGAAATTTCAGATGAGTGATATCAGTGTTGAAGCAGTGGAGAATTGGCGAGTACTACCGAAAGAATGCCTTGGGGAAGTGCTTGAGAGAATCACAAATGAGCTGACAACGAAGTTCACGTTCGAGAATATCAGTGTAAAGACTCGAAAAGTTCGTTGATTGATTGACTTCGTTTCTTTATTGTTATTGTTCTGATCATTCCGATCATCTTTGAACTTCTGCTTGAAAAACAATCCGCGTAGAAATACGCAAGCTGTGTCTAATTATTTAATTTATTCATTTTCCAGGCCATAAGCAAGCTATTTGTTGAATTATTTGAATCACAAGAAAGCGATGAAGCAATGCCTTCTGCAGCAACAGCAATGAATTTGTGTCGATTACAAATTTGTTTCATGCGAATTCTATGTCGTGATCAAAATAATTTGGACGGTATCCTAATTGATGATCGAATCTCAAGATTTATCGTTAAATTTGCATTGTTAACTGAACAAGAAACACCACTATCAACCTTCGAATGTAATGGTTGGTTTTCTTTTGGTATTCATTCCCTTTACGTGTTCCATGCGTTAATTAAAACTGTCTTATTTTAAATTCAATTCCTTTATGTACTCTTGTGTTTACCAACTTTAATTAATCTGAAATAAAGGTTAGGAAATTGAGATATTGATGCAGTTATTGTCATAATGATATTACGATAATTATTGGTGCATTCATTCTTTTACAGTTTTGTTGGAGGCCGAAATGTGTCTGATTAATGCGTTATTCAATTGTCCATCAGCAAGAAATGTTTTTCTGTTAGCATTTGAATTGTACTATTATATAAACATGATACTTTACAGTATTATTTATAGTTATTATTATTTATGTCGTTATTATTATTCTTAATTTTACTTCTTGGTGAATTGTCTCTTTTTAAGCAAATATTCAACAAGAAAATTAATAGAGCGTATCGATACACTGAATGGTGATGGAAGATCATCAAAAGAGTTGATTAAAACGAAGTTGAAATATTTAAATGAATTGACAGAGACGGATATTAATCGTTTGGCTTTATACGACTTGCGTATCGCGTTTATTTTGACGGCACATTCTTTAAAATTGCAGGTTTATTTAATTAATGTTTTGTCAATTTATTGTTTGTGTTGTTCGTTTGTTCATATCCATTATTCAGTTATAACTTTGTTGAGTTGTTAATGTTATTATTATCGTTACTATAGCAATAATCTTTGATGCTTCCTTTAATAATTCTCTTGTCCTCTTCCCTATCCATTGTTAACCAGTACCGAATCAAACTGCGCGAGATCTCTTGTCTTCTCTTGATAGATGCACGATTTCCTCATGACGACTTTCAAACCATCAAAAGAACATATGAATTATAAGTTGTCCTCTGAGATTGATATTCATTGATTTATTTGACAGTACTCATCATGAATAAAAGCTTATATAATAGTATCAAATAGCTTATCATGATAATAGCTTATCATGCATTCTGTACCCGACCTTAACCGGCCAGTTTATAGATTGATCTCTTCATCCATCTAATTCTTTGTGCTCTTCCCCTATTGCTGTGCCAAACCGTCGGCCTGTTGATTCAGTCTTTTGCCATTTTTAACGCCACCCTTCTGACCCACTCGAACTCTCTCTGTTTGATCAACGAAAAATAGTCTAAGGAATTTGTGCATTATGAAATTTTTACAGACCGACTGGTTAAGCGCAGGTAATGATGTGTTATTCGAGCGAATTATCGCAACTGCTCTCGAGCAACATCAAGATGAACTGAAGTCAGGAAGGCAAACAAAAACAGCAAGTATGAATGAATATTGATTAACTGAAGAGGAAGGGGGAGGCTTTCAGGACTAGCTCAGATTCAGATTTGAACATAGGCGAGTAAGACGTCCGGAAAACATTTAGCTCCAAAAATTATCCTCCAGCCTTTTTTTCAATATGTTCCCAACAAAACAATGCAATCTGTTTTATAAACAATTATTGTATCGAAATGAAATGAATTATCGAAATAAACGATCGAGTGAAGAGATGAATACGTAAATGTTGAGGTCTTATAAGTGCGCACTCGTCGTCGACCTCATCAGCAGCAGTAAGACAGCCGCCGACGCCATACGCGGATCGATGCATGGAAGCGTTGAAAGTTCTCTTCAATCTCTTCTGTCACACCAATGAAAATAACATCGAAAATGTAACCAGCCATTTGTTCAGCAATTTCATTTCTTTCTACTCGTCTAACCTTATGTCATTGCATCAGTCAGACTGAGTGACGTCAACCATTAGCGAGTAACATATCTTTTAAATGCCAGCAATATTCAGCTTATTAATGCTGGCTCTTCTCATACAGGAACTGCGAATAAATGAAGTACACTTTAAAGGCATTCGTATGGCATTCAGTACAATGTCATGCTTATTAATAATTTATTTTGTTTTTGTAATGTTCAGTTGATTTTTAATGAATAGAACAAGAGCACTTAACTGGCATAGATGAATTTATTTAGAAAAAATAATGCCTTAGAAATCCGTTTCTTTTTCAAAACCTGTTCTCATAAGAAAATGGCTGTCGTCGTCAGTAAGTTAAAAGTAGCAATTGAATGGAAAATAATGCGATAGAAATGGCACATTTAATTGCGCTTATAATGTTGGTTATCTCAAAAATAAACGAGCAAAATTTTATCCGTCCTTGTTATCGTGCAAAATGCAATCGTGAAAGTCATATTCTATGAAAGAGACGGACATAGAACGGCGTTAATTTGATTGCAAATTCATTTCTTTCCCTAATTCATTTCGATGTTTCCATTCAACGAATTCATAAATTTTCCATTTTTTTATTGCAAAAGAAAACTAATTCACTTCCAGAGCAACAAACACAGTATGGAGCAATGCGCAAGGACGTGCGCCAACGTGGTACTCTTGGACGACGTTGAACCGAGCATCGAGCAGGCGGCGGTCAATGTACTTGCCACTATACCATCCGTGTTGGGAGTTCTTCTTAGCGACGAAGTAGATTTTCTGAACTTCTTTCCGAAGAATTTGCAAATCAAATTGTAGCACTTCAGGATCTCGGCAGATTGAGAAAGTTTTATGAATGCATCTGCGTGCGTACATTTTTATTCCGTCAGTTTCTACCTTTATGAGAGTGACGAAGAGTACCACTGCCACAGAAATTCTGGCAGAGTTGTGGTCCGGAATTGTGATGACAATAACTGAAATTGAGCCTTATTTTCCAAGCAAACGCTTGACTCTTTTTCTCGATTTGAAGAAGTTTCAGTAAGATGCCACGTTGAATGCAATCCGTCATATTTTTCAGCAGTATTTTCTCATGAACAATCGTTATTTTTCAATTTTTCATCTAATGCGATTTCATTTTTTGAGTTACGTCAGTGCCACATTATCCTGTTTTTAATACTATGTTATGGGTATACTATGAAATATTTATAAATATGAATGTGTTGCATGTTCCGAAAGGAAACGTTTTTTTTTAAAATTTATTTTCTTGTTCTTCAGATAAATAACGATAATCTTAGCCAACATGGATCAGTTGAAAATGCTAATAGTAATAATGACGGTAATGGTAATGAAAGCACAAAAACAGCAACGAAAGCAGCAAAACCACATTTGGATTTGCAATATGATGGAGTTGATATGCGTTTCGTTGACGTACTTTTGAATTCACTCAATCGTCGTATTGAGCCGGTTCGTTCTTTTAATCTGTGCACTTTAAAGTTTATAAATGTGTACGTATATCATCATTGTGGAATTCTTTTTGCGATTAGATTGAAGCCAATACACCGCCTTGAGACTGTGTAATGATGCATCAGAATGTTGGTGTTTGAAGTGGACTATGCCGCATTGTTAAGGTGGATCTTAGGAATTGAATAGAGATTAATGGATATTGTCTTGAAATTCGAAACAGTTCAAAGCAGCAGCAGCGGCACATTCGTGGTGTAGATATTTTATTATAACGCAAATAAATGGCACCATCAAAAAATGAAAAGTGATGTTAAGTCAATTGCAATAAGTGTGAACGACGCCGAATTGGTCGTCGTTGAATTGTAATTGCATGAATGGTGAAATTGTCCAGATGGAACAATGGTTGGATATTGTCGGATTAATGAAATAGTGGATATTGTCTTGAAATCAGTTTTTTTTTGGTTATTTACTGTTGCTTGCAGGAAATTCATGATGAATATGAACTGCTGGGAACGTATTTCACTGTTTTAATTCATTTGTGCACACACTCAAAAGAAGCACGGCGATTTGCACGACTAAAGGTACCTGAACAATGGTGCATTGTTATCTCTCATAATAATAACGGTATTATTTGTTGTTGTAATCAAGGAATTTTTTACGTGTTTGTGTGCTATCTTATAGGTGATGCCACCGTTACATGCACATGATGTTGAGCGACGACCGGATGAGGGAAATGAGTTTCGAAATAAGGTTGTTCGAATAATGATGAGCAGTTGTAATTGTAGACAGTTGGCCGCTGAATTCCTCTTCATTCTTTGTAAACGAAGTGGTAAGTGTGGATGTTGATGCGTTGTTGTAGATAAATCTCATGTCTTTTTTGAATGAATTGGTGATTTTGAAGATTTCTTTTGATTCTTCAGAATTTCAAAACAAGTTCTATTAATGTACCCAACTTCACTTCGCTTCAGTTCGATCCCAATTTTGCTATGATAGTTTTCGTCGAAGATGAGTTATTTGTAACGTAACGTGATCATAACGCGGTGATAGATTCATGCATCTATTGATAGTAACGCTGTTAACGTGAAGTTTTGGATTATTTGATTGTTATTGTGGTTGTGTTTTTAGTGAATCGTTTGTTGAAATATTGCGGCTTTGGGAATGCGGCTGGTCTTTTAGCCAATTATGGTTTCCTGGGTGCCATAAACCAACCACGTGCTTCAGATAGTGAGGATTCGGAGACAGAAGATTACAAAGAAGTGGAAAATTTGTTAGTTGTGCGATCGTTTCTTTGTTTTTCATTTACTCTGCATTTTATTTCATTAACATTTTTGGTTTTTGACTTTTGTTTTATTTATTTGGTAAAGAAATTCGTTTAGAGTAACTAAAAAAATTGATATTTCAACTGTTTAACCAAAAAGAAAGGGAAACTATAAAGCGCGCTTTGGTGAAATTACATATTAATTGTTTTACATTATTGGTCGCAAGAGGAATTAGTGATTTAGTTTTTGAAACTTTATTTTGTTCACTTTATTGTTTTTATTTGTAATTATTATTTATGGTATTGTTATGATTATTTGTTATATCAGTTATATATTTTTGTTGCTATTATTATTATTGTCATTATTACTATTTTTATTACTATTATTATTATTATTATTATTATTATTATTATCACCATTGTTATTATTGTTATAATTATTATAATTAAGATTCATGTTAATGAAATAAATGCAGAGTAAATCCGGTGACTGGCTGTATAGAGCCTGCAGACAGCGTGAATCCATTGGAGGGAATGTCAGAAGAGCAAAAAGAATATGAGGCGATGCAGTTAGTGAATGCGATGAGTAAATTAATGGACCAAGGTAGGCGTTCTCGTTTAGATTCATACCTTTTTATGAGCAGTCCTCCACTCCATACCCTCTCAACATGTGAAAATGTCTCCTCTCAATATTTATGAGAATCATATCGTGTAGCGTTTTTTGATGGATGGAAAATAATATTTCAACAAGCTCTTATGGCATTACTGCTTTAATTTCATATCCCACATTGCGATTATTATTATTATTATTATTATTATTATTACTATTATTATTATTATTATTATTATTATTATTATTATTATTATTATTATTATTATTATTATTACTATTATTATTATTATTATTATTATTATTATTATTATTATTATTATTATTATTANCAACAAGCTCTTATGGCATTACTGCTTTAATTTCATATCCCACATTGCGATTATTATTATTATTATTATTATTATTATTATTATCATTTTCATCATCGTTGTTGTTATTATTGCTATTATTGTTTTCTTTTTGTTGCTATAATTGTTGTTTTTAAGGTGTGATATCGCCAGGTACGATTGGAGATGATGGGCGCATACGTGCTGTGAAACATATCCTTGAATTAACTGAAACTAATGATAAGAACAGGAATAAAGAAGAAGGTGATGATGATGACGATAGTGAAAGCTAATTAGACGTGTTCATTTATTAGTGTGCATATTTATTTATATTTGTTGTTGTGTTATTTATTTATTTGTTCATTATTACTTATTATTTATATATAATGATCTCTTTCTTACTGCACAGTTTTCATTTTTTTGGTGATTTTTATTGTTGTCTCATTTGAAATGACTTTCTGAACAAATATTGCTAGTAGGAGACTTCGTGGTTCAGTAGACTTCGCGATACATCCATTCATCCGTATTTGTCAATTTTTAGGCTTTATGAGCCTAAATAAATCAGATATCTGGCTGAGGTTGAGATTGTTTTTTGTTGTGTGTGCTGAATTCTGTGTTTGTTAGCCTAATTAATGCGGACTGTTTCCATCAGAGGGTGTGTAATAAACAATTATTACAAGTTGTATTTTTATGGCTTTTACCCGCACCATTCTCATTTGTATCAATGTAATGGTTATAATTATAAGTAATTTATTTGAAGTTTGTAAAATGTTCTTAAGACATGCTTATTAGCATAAGCATTAACTTGGAATGAAATTTATGCAAATATCAAAATTATCAAATTTACATCCATTTAATACATATCCCAATATGAGGACAGCCAGCGTTAGCAAGTTGGTTTGCTTGCAGGTTGATGCGTTTTACAGTGTGTTATTTCTCTTGTTTTTTGAAACTGTATTTTTGATCTGATATGTCGATTGTTGAATATGTTATTATGTTTTATGTAAAATATTCTCAGTGATCATTTCTTGTGCTGTAAAAATAAATCAAAATTCTGCATTCTTTGATTATGTACATGATTCTAACTCGAAATATTTCGTTAGAGAGTGGTTGTATACGCCGATCGTACATTTGTTTGCAGAGGATAATAGTATTTTAGTGGTGATAATCATATACGGACAATAATTGTGATGATAATGATAAGAGTAAGAATGCCGAAGAAACATACAACATCGAATAAGACTCGGAAACGTAAAGGAAAAGATATGGATCAAATTGCAGAGGACTTGAAGCCTGAAAAAGCTGCAAAACTTTTGAATCAAGAAGTTGACTATGATTTACCAGGTTGTTTTCTTAATTCTGAATATCAGTGTTGTTGTTATAATCATAATTGTTATCACAGCTGAAGAATAGCGCTAGTAGCGGAGTAGCTATCCTCTATTAGGAAAGTTAGCGAATAGCACGCAATTGCTCATCTCTGGTCACTGTTGTCGTTATTGTGATCGCTGTTATTATTATTATTATTATATTTTTAAAAACTTTTTTCCTGTATTAGATGGAATTTTCATGTTATAAATCGCACAGGTGACGGTCAGTACTATTGTATTGAATGTGATCGATATCTTGTAGATGAAGCGACTTTGGTCAAGCACAAGAAATCGAAACGTTAGTAGTATTTAATATTAATATTATTATTGTTATTATTATTATTACGTTGTTTATTATATGAGATGTTTAATTTCAGCTCATCGACAACGGGTAAAGTCCTTGAAAGAGGTGCCATATTCACAGAAAGAAGCTGAAATAGCTGCGGGTATGGGTGTTGCTTAACAAATGAAACGAATTCAGTTTTTTATTTGTTCTTTTCATTGATCTTTCAAATTGTCATATGTATTATTATTGAAAATTTGGCTGACAGATTTGGTGAATGCAATCCCTTCAGTCCGATAACATTTGAATTTATTGTTTTTGTTAGTGATTGATAGTGAGCGTATTTTGCGTGAAGATGACGATTGTAATTCTGTCTTTATACACCTTTTTGATCACTTAATCGATCTTCGGAACTGCATTATTCTTGGGAGATAAACAGATGATTTCGTGTCCAAATAATATCCTTTGCTAATTTTGTTGGTGGTAAGAAAGGAAAGGAGGATGAACAAATGAGGAATGAACAACGTACTCAATGAAATTTGTGATATTATTTCAATGTTGTTATTGATGATGGTTCAAGTTCGATGATTTATCTATATGTGGTGCTCGTAATAAGTTGTTGTTTTTTTGTTGTTGTTGAATGAATAAATGAATGAGTGTTATTATGATAAAATGATTAAAGGAATTGTTTGATTGTGCATTAAAATTGTTCATTCAATATCAGTTATCGTGTTCAATTTCACTTTTGTTTGTGTGAAATATTCAATCAGTATTGGTGACGTTGATGATGATACTGACAATGACAGTTGTAATAATGATAACGTTTGCAGCTCGAATGAATGCTAGATTGGAGTGTGTTTACGAGTGGTGACGATAACCGAACGAAAATTTGTTTGATTGGAATCTGGCGGAAGACATTCTTGCTTTTCGATACTTTGGTATTCATCAAAAAAGTTGAAAACTGTGATAAGCTAAAACTCAACTAGTACATTTCGAGCAAGATTTGGTCACTCGTTAGTATTCAAAGGTAGGTGGGCGATAGATATGATGAAGTATCTAATTCAGTTGAATTAATTAATTTAGGTGATTAGAGCGGACGAACGAAGGCATGTTGATAGTATTATATCCGTTGAGATCATCTCTTAAAATTGCTCGATTTTCACTACCATCATCATTTATTGCACAGCAGCTACAACAGTACACATGGTTATCATATTCTTCAATATCTCATCAATCCATATCAAAATCATCATTATCCTCTTCGTCAGTCAACATATCACATCTCATCGAGACTTATCACCTGGCTAAACAAAGTGTTTTCACCACTGATAATAAAGAATCGCTGCATCGGCAACACCTCATCACTGATAATGGTGGTGATAAGCGAATTATCGCGTCAACAACAACGGATTCTAACCATCAAAAAGGTTATACGACAGTTTCAACTAGTCATCATCATTGTCGTAGTCAATTTTTGGCCATTGTTTTGCAATTACTATCGCAATCTTCCCATAATCGGGTAATGATTATGGTACAAGATAGATACCCTTATGACACAATTGCATCTTAATCCATTAGTGCCCCTCATTATTCGTTCCATAACAAAATATCCAACCAAATGTGCTACTTTGAAGTACTCCTCAAACGCAACATTTTTCGGCGTTTTTATTGCGATAAAACTAAATAAAACGACAAAAGCACAAAGCAGTAATCTGATAATCAAACAGTACAATCCATTCATCCAAAATGTTCCATTCAAATCAAATATGTATCTCGAATACTGACGGATATCATCCGGTATGCCATAGGCATCACACATGTGATAAATGCACAAAACAAACAGTGAGTGCATTGTTGCATTCATAAAGCATGATTGGTATCACTGTTCAGTCAGTTCACTGGCTCATGAACCATATGACTTGCGAAAATATTATTGCGCAAATTGGTAGTGTAACTGATAAAGATTTATCAGGCATGATTGTAACTGCAGAGTGCAAGTGCTCTTTCTGACAGAAGTATTCTCATTTTGTTATGAAAAGCCCATGTTCCTTATTGGGATCATTAGTGCCCACCAGACGCCAGTGGTCTATGATTGCCTAATTTGGAACGACAGCGTCCACCTTTCGATAATAATCCATTACGATGTTCGTGGTATAGCTGCGTTTCCGCTTAGACACTAAGTTTTAATTTAAATTCTTAAACTCACATCTCAGTCATCATCAGATCTTGAAATTCATATTGCAATCGTTCAAGGTCATAACGCAAATGATGGAAAATATCAGCCACTGATGCATTCAAGTGGGGTTGAAAGGTTTGCTTTTATCGAAGCCGTCAGCCCTCTGTTGAATAGCGAAGCAAGATTGTAAGTGATTGATAACATTTTAAAGGTGCACAAATTTCAGAAGTGACTGCAGTGGTTGATCCACGCGACGTATTTTGTAATAATGCGCTGAGTTTACAAAAAATTAGTGTTTACGGTTTCGACTATGATTACACATTAGCCGTTTATACGCGAGCAATCAACCAGTTGATTTATGATCTTTCAATGAATCGCCTTATTCAACACTACAAGGTTACTGTTGTTAGCGTTATTATTTGAATGATGCACATCATTAGCGTTCAGTGATATATTGAGGATTCGTTTCAGTATCCACGTGGTCTGCTTAGTGTGTCGTATGATCCAAAATTTGCGATCAGAGGTCTGCATTATGACGTTACGAATAGTTGCCTTCTCAAGGTAGGATGGTTGTAAGATTACGGATTGGCTTCGGGTAGAAGCAGTTGTAGTTAATCTACTATGAGGACAGATGGTAAATCAGTGCAGTACACTTTCATTCAAATTTGACGATGATACTTGTGAATATTTTATTCAGTGTGTGAAACGTTTTACAAATGTCAACTAAATTACTCATAAGCATAATGATTAGGGTGGTAAAGTGATAGCGGGTAAAGTAGTAGCTTGAGTAGTATACTGCATTTATTATCTGTCTGTCAGTGGCTCTCTACTTTTTTTCGGTCAAATCGTCCATTTTGACTAATGTAAGATCACGGCCAAATCGATCCATTCTCCCAGATGCAATGTTAAGTGATTGATCCAACGATAAATAGGAAAACGTTGAAGTAATTTTCGAACAGCGATTTCTTTTTCAGTAATAATCGCCTCCCACCTTCTCGACATACTGTCCTCATCGTTGGTGAGCGATATCGCCCGCATTCATTTAAATGACTATTCGATAAAAGTGATAAATGCTCTTCTTTTTAATCAACCACATAATTACTCACCTCACCTCTTTATTCTTTCTGACATGCCTTCATGTATTTTTATTATTTCAGTTGGATTCATATTCACAGATTCAAAATGGGACTGTTTATCGTGGACGAAAGAAGTTGTCAAGAGACGATATTATCAACATATATGGCAGTCTTTCACTTTCTGATGCAAAGGTTTCAACTTCTTTTCGAAACAATCCATTATAATTATATGACTGTTATTATTATTTATTATTATCATTATTATCATTGTTATCATTATTATCATCCGTGACCGGACAACTCGCCTAAAGACTTTTTGCCTAAGGACAGTTTGCGTAAAGACACACTGCCTAACGAACAGTTTTTTAATGGATATTTTGCCTAAGAGGCAAACTGTCCTTAGGTAAAACGTCCTTAGGCAGATTGTCCGGGTACCATTATCATCATCATCATTATCATTATTGTTGTTGTTACCATTATTATAACTATTATTATTGTAAAAGCTGAAATTGATTAAGTTGTTGTTTTTGGCACAGCTAAGCTTATGTGGTATATTGTTGTTGTTGTTGTTTTGGTTTGTATTTTAGGGTCGTGGCCTAATGCAGTTAATCGATTTGTTTAGTTTGCCATGGGCTGGTCTCCTTTCGACAGTCGTTCAATACTTTGATGATAACGCAATCACATTCGATCCTCTTTGTATGTATCAAGATGTTGCGGTGAGCTTTGCACCGTATTACCCACTTTTTATGCTTGTTTGCATACTTTTTTTGAAACATTCACGCCGATTGTCTTCATGTGAGAACAGGTAATGGATGCAGTGCGATTTTAGGATATCTACTTACACCTATACCAGTTTAATGCTTATGCTTATATAAAATTTTTCCACTGTCTACAGAATATTATATCAACTTTGAAAAAAAAAAGATAGGTATAGGATAAGCAGAAATAGATGGAGCGAAATTAATATAATTCATCATTAACTTTAAAAATACTTGACTAACTAATTGAATGCTTAAATAAATACTTGAATAATAAAAATACTTAAATAATAAGCACTTGTATTTATTACTTCGTATGAGCCATCTCAAAGCAGGTTTAATCGATGGTCGATGTATATAAATGAAGACATCTAGAATCGATGGACTAATTATAATAATTTTCTAAGCAGAAAAGATAAATAGTGATTGCAGTCGAGTGTGAAATATGTGCACATATCTGGTGAGATGTATCGTGCTGTGATATCGGACTTAGAGCATTATGTGCACAAGAACAATGGTTTGAAGGAGTATTTAACGCGTTTAGTCTCGAATGGCAAACAGCTCTTTATGGTCACTAATAGTCCGTTTTCATTCATGTTGGTCGAGAATTCCTTTCGAAAATATTTATTTTTGCTTAAACTTTTAAATTTGGATAGTCAGCACTGATTGAGTAACTACCGGTGGTTATATCATTTCTTTATGTACCATTATTCATTATTATTGCTAGTATTGTTATTATTACTGTTATTATTAATATTATTATCATTATTGCTGTCTTCATTATCTGTGTTATTATTATTGTCATTCATATTATTTTTCATTTTTTGTTTCGTTGTTACATCGTTTCTAAGCGAAGAAGAAAGAAAATAGAAGGCAATTTTTTGTTTTTATCAAGAATATTGAACATTCAACGATACGCACTGAATCACTCTTGTTGTGCATTGATGAAATGAACAGTGGAGTTTCATCGTTCAGGAATCGTGGGATGTGTTATATGTTGGGTGAAGACTGGCGAAAATATTTCAGTTATATTGTTGTGATGGCAAAGAAACCGGATTTTTTCCAGGTAAGACCATAGATAAAGAGTAAAACAATGAGAATTCATTGATTTAGGTCAGTGATGTTCGTTTAGGGATAAACATTCAAAATTGGATATGCCAGTGCGTATATTTTGGATATGAAAAAACCGTAGAGAGTCGTGAAATTTGATGAGTTTAGTAAAATATTTACAAATGTAACACCAGTAGAAGCAATAGTAAGTTAGACCCGTACTTAAAGATGGGAGAGCTGAGGAGGAACAGAGGACTGAAGTCATTAGTACTTATAGTCTGTAATAACTTTGAAGGGACGTGCTCCATTCCGAAGTTATCACGAGGAAGACGACAGCTTATCGTATGAGAAAGTAACTTCGCTAGAGAAGGGCAAAATTTATGCTGGCGTAAGTAAGATGAACTTTCATTAGTATTCTTTTTTTCGTTCTTTATCAATTATTGTTTGTATTATTATAATATTGGTAGAATTTTAAAGTATTTTTGATCGTAATGGTTGTAAATTTGAGGGTAATATCGCTGCACTCTCTCAACAAGCCTTGTTCCACGATCGTCGAGTGCTTTATTTCGGTGATCACATCTACACAGACTTAGCCGATCCAATGCTAATGCTTGGTTGGCATACGGCCGCAATAGTACCCGAATTAGCACGGGAGATACGTCTGCAGAATAGTCAAGAATATCGCTTGAATATCACATGGCTGTATCATTTGACGTTACTCATCGAAAAGTACCAAAAATTCGGTGATAATGATCCACAAATTCGCAAATTAATTGATGAATGGTTCGACGAGACGGTAGAAGTAGGGTGAGTGAGTGCTTGCTTAATGGCTAACGTTAGAATTTCGACGTGTGTCCTCGGAAGATTGAATTCCGATGGCCACCGATACGGTGTACGATCGATGGCCAATGAATCAAAGAACTCTCAGTTTTCAACTCTAGTGGAGGCAATGTCTTTCAATAAACCTTCATTAAATTTCCGACCTTGCTTTCTCAAATTTCTGTTATTTTTCTTTTCCGATTTTAGTGTGATTAAATTGCGATTTTTTTTGAAAATCCGTAATTATCACAATGATTTTGAAGAAGTAATTCAATCGTTTTTTTCTACTTAGTTTTTTCGCATTTTTATAAAATCGAGATGATTGCTAGTTGCTAAGTGGAATGTTCAAATGTATCAACTAAGCATATCGTTCGTATTCTAATCTATAGTAGCATATGGATCACAGACATAGTCTTACGTCAGTTAGTATGTGAAAAAAGGTGAGTTCAGATCCAGAGTTTGAGTTCAAGTGTAAACGTGAAACTAAAACCAAGCATTGTCCTGAGCCTAGGAGTTCCTCTACGGCCAAACCTGAAAGCCTGAACTCAAGTCAATTCAAAGATTTTAGTTGTCCTCAGTCATTTAAAGATAAGCAACCTAGACTGAAATATACTCATCAAAATCAAGCGAGTGAACTTGTTTTTTTAACATGAATCCATAAATAAAACAATCCAACAATTAGTTCAACTAAGCAGTAATCAAATTTCAAGCATTATATTAACATAGCACGGTTTTGAAAATTGATTTGTTTGAAGAGAACATGTGAAAGTGATGTTCAATCCGCGGTTTGGTTCGTTATTCCGCACGTTCACCAATATGACATTCTTCTCGAGGCGTCTCAACCGTTTGTCTGATATCTACATGAGTCGTCTGCCGAACTTGCTGAAATACAGCGATGATCACACATTCTTTCCACGTCGCAATGCACTTCCACACGAAATTGCGATGCCTTTTGCCGCTTTATCGTCGTTTGCCCACCGTCCTTTTATCACATGCAGCAATTAGTCGTAACCTCACTGTGATTGTCTTTATTATCGCTTGTTTCGTCATTATTAATATCACGATTATTATTATTATTATTATTAATGATTTTATCATTAACGTTGTTCTTATCTTATTGACATGATATACATACTTACATGCAAACTTACATTCTACAGATAATAATGATAACAAGTTCCTCTCTTGCAAAACTCTTTAAACAAATAATAACTCATAAATTATTGCAAGTAAAAACAAGTTTTGAGAAAATTCTTTCAAAATTTCATCGCAAAGTTAGCTAACACGTATTGACTCGTAGTCATCTGTAGTACGTTCATTGCAAATTGCTAAAATTACTATGGTAGTGCTCTGTTATACGGCTGTTATAGTTGTTTTATAGGTGAATGTTATGATTTTAATACCGCAATTTGTCCGTTTTTCTGATTCCGGTATCTTATTTATTTGTTTACTTTCATATTATCACTTATTTTCAATCACTTTTAGTTTCGCGTCATATTGTTCACTTATTTATTTATTGTTACTATTTATATTATCATTACTGTTATGACTGCTATTGACGTTAGTATTATTTGTTATTGTCATAGTGTATTCGGTTTTGTTTAGAGAAGAAAATATCTCTGTACTCATGATTTATTCAGCAATGATAAAGGTTAGTGTTGATTGGTGCTCATTATTTCTTCGTTTTTTTTGCATTTTTGAAATATTGTTCAAATTTCGTATTTTTCAATTGATTCATACTCATCATCTTTTAACTGTTTCTTTCCTTTGCCACGAATTTCACTCACAATACGTGCCTAGATTCACTTATTTTGATTATAATTCTTATTGTTGTTATTATTATTGTTATCGTTGTTGGTATTATTATTGTTAATATTAAAAACATTACCACATCTGAAGCACCTCATAATGATATTAATACTGTCATTTTTGGATACATTCAGTTCTGTAATAATTTGCACAATGATAGGTACATGTGTTTTTATCTGAACGTAGTGCATCATCAGTTCAGGTAATTCGTTTACGACTGATCGTTCGATTGTGTTTTGTTAGCAATTTTCTAAGCTTATTTATAATTTTATTCCTTCGTTAGTTCTGATAGTGGTAAATAACGGAATAAATTCTTCCTGTATACAACAAAAACTATGAAATACTAATGGAAGCGATAGATGTGATTCGAGCGAGTTGAAAGGGAAGTTGAATTTTTGAGATATGTTTCATTTGTTCATTCATTTACTTATTTGTTTGTTTGTTTATTTTTTAAAAGATTCATTTATCCATTTATTCTTTTCAAATGAAACATAAGCTGAATTCACAACATCAACGTTTTTGTTAACTGTACGTATTTTTGAACATTCGTAACATTAAAGCATATTTGTAAATTATTGTACGTATTTTTGAATTATATGTACATACATTTTGCAATTGTCGTATGATAAAGTGATAGTGATTTAGAAACGGTCAAAAATAATGATAATTGAATAAAACTTGGACAATGATAAAATTGAATTGAATAATCAGAATCATTATTTACAACAACACTATCAACCAGCAGCAGCAGCTTTGTTAGACTAGAAAGGAAAGAGAGAGGAATGTGGATGGGAGGAAATGGTATCGGCTGTTGTGGTGTGAATGTGCTTCGCACATGGACGTACTTTTTGCATGTCTACTTGAGCTCTGATGGGCTCTAGTAAAAAGCATTGGCATATCAATTGTCAAACCACGTCTACAAAATGATCATTATGTGATTGGACTAGAGCGCAGAATGATAGTAATGATCAAATAGGAGTAGGCAGAAGTACAAGTAAGAAATTGTTGATAACAAACGAAGAACAATCGGAAAAAGGACGAAGTTGTCGTTAAATATGTTAGTGTTGTTGTAATTAAGATGATGCTTGAACTTGCGCTAGTGCTTGACGCTGTGGCGGCTGAGGAAGAAGCAGCAGCAGATAGCTCTATAACTGAGACCGATATATCCATATTGGGATTAGATTTGACATTAACGTTTGGATTTGTGACCGTCACTGGAGGAGGACGACGCGGAGGTATTTCACGAATCCATAATTCGGTGAATTTTTGGAAGCGACGTCGGGGTTGTTGTTGAATGGTATCAGCAGCAATAGCGTTGCCATTGATATTATTGCTATTGAAGATACTGGTGGTGGCAGTAGTAGATGGATTTTGTCGTAGTGGAAAACTGAAAAAAAAACTTACTTTCAATTCTGCTTTCATTAGTTTATTTAAAATTTCATTATTGGAAGTTTATCCAGTTAACGACTGTGGATGAGAACTATCCAGTTAACGATGCCATCCAGTTTATCCAGTTAACGATGCCATCCAAGACCATCAAATCTGTCTGTGATTTCGTAAACTAGTAGGAAGGTGGTCACGGCTATATATATGAAATATGGATAATGTCGGTGTATCAACAAAGCGATGATCATCTCTGATCTGGTTCATTTCTTGAATATGTGTTTCAACTCAATTACATTAACAACATTCAATGTTTCAGGCAGAGACTGCTATTATGCCGAAAGCTGTGGCCTAACACGAGAAGCATTAACACCTTGCACCGATAAAAATGACTGCATGAATGAACATTTGATGAGAATATGAAATGATTCTGTTTGCAATTAGCACGTAACCTTATATGATCATTTTCGTTAATTGCTCGTATAATGAATCCGTGCGTTTTTTGCAATAAATCCAACACTGAGTTCTCTCCAAGGAAATGTCCTAAAAACATAAATATAATTATACTGTTGCGACTAGCTCGAAAAGCCATCATAAATAGATATTTTGACGTTTAGCGAAGAAAGTACATAAATAGATTTGATATCACTATGCTATGGGTCGATGATGTACTGCGTCACAATGCACTTCGAGGATCCGACGAGCTCTGAAGGCTTGCGTTCGATTTTGCAGCAGTCCAAAACCGTTATTGAATTTCGATGTTTGAGAAATTTGAAGAAAAGGGAAGAATGAAGAGTGAACTCGACCGATACTTTTCGTGGATGGATTCTTTCAGATTAAACATAAATTTATTATTCGTTTCATATCTGACCGATGCGATATTATTCTTCTGATTATTTCGTCTCCACACATCTTTTATTTTTTCTAATGATAAAAATAATGATATCAGTTGAAGTCATCATCAAATTCTATTGCTTTTTTCTCAATAGAATGAACAATATTCGGTGATATTACCTGCACCCAACGCAAAAAAATAATCATGAAGAGTGTGCGATTGTCGTAAAATGCTTGCAATTCTTTTCGCCATCCGTATGTTTCGTTTGATGATTATATCGTTGCGTAATTGGACGTCAATCTGTAGATGGTGTATATTATATTATTATTTTTTATTATCATTTATTATTATTATCATTTCTGAGTTAGCAGCTTTGCGCTATCATAAGTGTGCCGCAGCCTTGAGTGCTGCCACTTTCAAGTCTCTGGATGGAAAAAATAAGTTGAAGAGTTGCTCACTGTCAGATCTCGACGGGCTCCTGCAGTTAAAATGATATTGCCCGATTCATCAAATGGTATGAGAGACAGAACTAAAGGAGAGACAGAACAATTAATTGAGACTGCGCTTTTGGGAGAGTAAATAAAATGTGGTGTAGCAAATCATATTAATAAAATCGGCAAGAAAAAGATTATTGTTATTGTTAATGTTGTAAATAAATAAATGACAGCATTAGTAGTTATCAAATAAGAGCGTATGTAATCACTTGCTGTGCTCTTCGATCAAGTTCAGGAGTTAATGAGAAGCCGAGATGATTGAAACGTTTTGAATCTATACTGAATATGGACGCTTTTAACGATCCACAGTTATAGTGGTGTATTAAGTCGGGTAATCCATCTTTTGCATTCACTATTATATCGTTTTGCATATTTCGTTTCGAGAAAATCTCCTGTTCAAATTCCAAATAGGATAATGTATAGTTGATCGCAAAAACTAACTGAAATGTTTTCATCATAATATTACTTATTAATAATAATAATAATAGTAAAATAATAATAATAATAATAATAATAATAATAATAATATTGCATTTTTAAGTAGATGTTATTGCTTATAACTTTCAAAACTACAATAAGTTACATTAAAAATGTTTTCCTTACCTGTTTACGATCAACTGAACTAAGCGGATTGCATTGCTGAAATTTATAATGAAAAATTAATTTTGCATTTGAACTGAAGTTCTGATATATTCATAACAAAGACTATTTCTAAAGATTTATAATGTTAGCATTCGTTGATATTAGCCAGATAGTAATAATAATTATTGTTACTTGTATTACTGTAATCATAATAAATGTATACCTCGATTGGTGTTTCAATTGAAAGCAGTCGTTTGTTAGTATCAATTGCAGATTGCGCTAAATAGAGATCAAGCATGGGAATGTGTTCGTTTTGAGCAAAACGTTCACTGAGTTGATAGAGAAGAAATAATAACCATACGGGACGACGTTGCTCCCATCCACCTGAAATTGTTACTGTTATTAGTATTATGGAACGCACCACAAATCTGCACTAGCTCTGAATATCGGTCACAAAAGGCCGGGTAAAACAGTGGAAGAAGGATAACAGTGCTTAGATAACGGCATCAGACCCATAAATGCTATTGACAAACTGATTGTATGTTGCATAATTAGGGGAGATCACATACCGTTAATTCTATTGTTATCAATTTTTATTATAGTTATTATTATTGCTATTATTATTATTAACATTATTATTGCAATCGCTATTTCTGTTACCATTATCAGATTATTTATGATATCATTCAAAAGAATTAATATATTATACCGTAAATAATCCACTAATAATTCTTATATAAACAAATGATTGAAATAGTGTTGTTCTGGTTGATCATTGTTCCATTGAAATGAGATATATACATTAATGTTATAAATAGTTTATTTGTTTAACTTTTCTGGTATGAACTGAATTATTTTTGGAGCATAATTGATGTACGAATTATATTAGAGTTGTACCCGTTCAAATCGTATTGTATTACTTTTATCCTGTAGGACAAGTAACGGCGAGATAAGTGGATGTACATAATGATCACAATAAAACATGTCTATAGACAAAGTTATTTGCGCAGATGCTTATTACTGAAGAAGTAGTAGTAATAGACAAGAGCAACTCGTCAATAACTTATTTCATTTCTTTATTTGTTTATCTAATAACAAACAAACGAATGAGTGACCCTGTAATTAGTATGTGCAACACTGCTAACAACTACAATAGTAATCGTTGTGCTAACAACAACACTCATAATTACTTTTCACAGTTGTTGATCTCTATTGGTCTACAATCTGTTATTAGCGATTGATTCATCTTTGATGAAAATTTCACTTGAACATAAACTGAACATTGCATTGTTATTTTAGCCTGAATATTGCTATTAAGAAGCACTATTTACCTAATCGATTGGTTCTGAATCATTTGTCTATCAATCGCCCACCTGAACTAAGATTACGTCTAAACTGCCACTGAGTCCCTTCCAGCTACCGTAATATTGAATAGTCAGTGCTAAGATAGAGTGCAAATTATGGCGAAACTTTTGGAAACTTCGTTCCGTTTCATTGCCAAAATCGTCCTCTCTGCGATATGACAGTGTGTTCGATATTGAGATTGCTCAATGGTTGAGAAACTCCGATCTCTGATTTAGGCATCCACTGTGTTGCGGGGACGAGATTTTGCACTCGAACATCCCGAAAATGCAGTCGGCTCGAAAAAAAGTCGGCGACGAGGTCCCGATTTCCCAATCCCTGTAACACAGTAGAACAAAGCATAAAACTGACCAGCAACACTGTTATAGATATGTCGAGCCCTTTTTCTTGCCTCCACCTTGCTTTCACCAACACGATTCGCCCAATTCGCTAAACGCTGTCGATATTTTCGAATATCTGAATGAATGTTCTGTTTCAACTAGTATATCGTATTGTTTTTATATTGTTTTATTTTTTTATCATTATTTCAGCCAATTGCTTCAACTTTCAACGATCAATCAATCATTTCATTATTACCGTATCATAGTTGAACATACATAATATATAGCCTTTTTGTTAGTCAAATTGCAAGCACAGACCTAAGCTGATAAACATGCATGTATATTACTGCACCCATAAAACTATCAACTAACCGTTTTTACTTATAATGTTTTTCATCATTTCGAAGTTACTGATTTTAACATGCTGATAATTATTGATAGCACTATCTATCTTGTAAGGTACACATCTGTCTCCGTTCACAACTTTTCATCACCTACATTTTCAAAAAATCTCATCAATTCAGCATCTAAAAGTTGTCGTAAAATGTAAGAATCTCTTCCACCGTTCGTAAACCTTTCATACCCTTGTTTCATTCGCCCCAAACAGTAAGAGCAATAAAAAAAGAAATACTCACAATGCTTGAGTCGTGCATAAAGTTTTGTTGGTAAATATTGACTAACGTCGAAACCGTTCGGCATATTTTTACATTCCATCAACGTTTCTACCGTTGATACATTATGCAAATCCAATTCAAATACGATTGAATTCGCCTTTTGAAATGCTTCTTTTACACGTTCTGATACTGCAAATACCATTCGATTACGTCTCCTATTCTTTCATTCATTGATCCATTGATTCCAAATCATCACTTGTATTCTTCCAATGCTTTTACCTAGCCACCAGTGATGATAACCGTCAAAAGTTTGATACTATTAGCCACCATCCGTCTACGTACTAGTCTTTCATAAAAAAAGGAAAAAATGCTGATAATTCACTGAAAGCATGGGATATTCTGATATAATTTACGTTAGCAATATGTGCAGTATGATTCAAGATAATTACTCATCGAAGAGACAGTTGGCATTTTAGATAAAATTTTGGAGTTGTTGAAAAGCGTCGTTATTATTTGACTCATTCATGCATGTTACTTCTTCTGCAGTATTATTCGCACGGGTATTCTGTGAGCGTGATAATGATGAATTTGAGTTATACTTTATGCTCGACAATAGTCGTCTGTCTGTCTGTCTGTCTTAGTGTTTGAAAATCAACACTTAAGTGTGTGTGAAACTATTTCCAACAATGGCGGAGCTATTATCATTATTGTTGTTACTATTATTATTGTTGCTATTATTATCATTACTATTATTGCTATTATTATTGTCATTATTATTATCACCATTATTATTGCGCCCCCCCGCCATACTAGAAAAACATCAATTTGAGTGTTTAAGTGCGGCAATTACTGATTCAAGCCAGTGACCATGCGTACGTGCTTTTATTCGCAATTATAAGAGTGTACTCAAATGTGAAACGTATTGAAGTAGTTGTCGGGCATACTGTAACGCTGAGTCTCAATTCTCATTCATAACTGATTAAATTTTTAGAACATTTTCGTAACAGAAAGAACACATGTGGGCAGGTGAGACGTTGGAATTGCGTTAAGAATTGCCCACGTATGGACTTAGCCGTAGGATAACATCTTGGCTCAGACTAACGCTTGTTCTGCATTTTACGTTCAAATTCTGGATACTTTTCCGTTCAATAACAACAATATTCGAAACTGTTTTAATTCGAGGCCGACAACATTTTTCAGAGGGTGGGGGGGGGAGGGATGGGGATCGTTCATATCATAATTGATTGAATGATTGCAGTAGTGATTTGTGATGAATGATAACCTGTTTATGCTAGTAACTATTAATGTTTCATTCAGAGTTAACCTGCGGAGCCTATTCCCCTCCATTGAGTTGACCCTCTTAAAGAGAATCCTGTTAAAGAACAGCGGGCAGTCTTGGGGCAATAATTGCACGATCATTTTGCCTTATTTTGTTGAGAGGCGATTTGGCATGTGATACGGGTAAATGTAAATGTGCAGAATAGAGAAATGAGCATACGATAGATTAATTGATAAATACACACAAAAATGTTTGCTTGATGTAAATGAGGATGACAATGGATGGCACAAGTGCCATTATTATTGGTTAGGTAATAATTACACATCTAAACGGGAAGGAAAGAAGGTCAGGTCAATAAATTTGAACAAGTTGATGGAAATTTTGATTAATTCGGGTATTGTTTCTGATTGAATGGGCAAATTTTTGTTTGTTTCTTTCACACCTATTCAGAGGCATATCCATTTTCATGTTCATGTCATCCTAATAATTATGATTGTTATTATTATTAGTATTGTTATTAATAATCATTGTACTGTTGTATTTGTATCAATAGAAAACAAGAGAGGAAAGAAAAGGATATGCATATACTCTGTGTGATTCTGTCCTATCTGAAGTTCTTTTGAAGTCCATGTTCTTTGAATGAAAACGAGCGTGAACATATGTTATATTGCATGTTAGGAACACAATACATATGTTACTTTATGAACTAATTGGCTATCATTTACTGTTACTGTCATTAATTTATTTATGTTGTTGTTTTGAGATTGGTATTTGGTAGGTTAAGAAATTGCGATATTTTCTTTGAGGTTCATGTGATTTAAGCTGAGTTAAACTGTTCGACTGAAATTAAATCCGTCAATATGTCTTCTCAAATCCCATCTGTTTACTTGTTTGTCTATCTGATCTATCAATCATTCAACCTATCCCTTCAAAAATTTACATTGCATTGATATCAATGATGATAACGATAACGACCACTCATAACTCACCATGTTCCCAAACTTCTGTAAATGGTACGTGTATTGTGCCGAACATATAGCTTTTAATACGGCCATCATCTGACTCTATTGACCATAAAAAGGTGGATTTGTCACCGTTCTGAAATTGATCAAATTACTTCAAGGCATTACTCAAAATATGGTGAGGGGAGGTGATCATACATGGTAAATGATTAAATGATCGTTTTGCTGCTTCACTATGCTTGTTGTCAGTTGCAAATAACAGTAAAAGAAAACTAGTTATCGTACAGTTCGAGCTGGTTTGTTTTTGAGGGGAGAGAGGAATATTTGAAAGATGAAGTTTAATTCTGATTCGGAAATTGAGAAGATTATACGTGGCTAATTGAAAGAGAAACAAATAAAGTGAACAAACCTTTTCTTGTGTGGTACAGTTGATGGAATATGCTTGAGCGATTGCACGGAATTTTATCGTTAATATCAGCATTATTAGTAAAATTTGTACAAAGAATGCATTAGACGATGATGAGCAATTGGTTCTTATCATAATACTTCATCAAAGCAATTCAATGCTTTTCGAATATTTTACTTTGATTCGATTCTTAAGATGTTGATCACTTATGATCACTATTTATAGTAATGATAGTATCAGCAAGAATACTATCGACGACCAATAATAATAAGAATGAGCGTTATTAAGATGCCGATCACTCTACTGCATACAGGACATCTATTGTATATAGTTGTACATTAACACAATTGTAGAATATTTCTTTTTCCATTGAAAACGAAAATTACTGCAACAAACAATTTTAGACTGTAATGACGATTGGGTAGAGAAGGATATTGAATAAAAGACGATTATGAAGGTAAAGTAATAAACCCATGACTGTCTTAATAGGAGGATGGGTAATGAGTGTAAATTTCTAGGAAGTTACTTATGTCGTTACGTTCAGTGCAATTCGGCAATTGTGTTTTTAAATAATTCATTTCAAACGTATAATGTCAAGTCAACTTGAAATAAATTTCTGATAAATGGCAACGTCAAACAGAATGAAACTGATATGAATGGAAACTTAATAAGGACTGTATTCATTACCATATCTCAACTATGAGAATGACCGGCATTAATGGATTGAAACGATATCGTGCAAGCAAATGCGATTGGTCTGCAGCAAGACAATGAAATGCGACATTATGTGATTAGCTGAGCGATTGATCTCATCAAAAAATAACTCCTTCTCCTAATCGGACAAACGACTTACTTCTCAAATGGTTCGTAATCTCCTAATGTGATCAGTTGGTACCATATCTAAGAAGCGCAATGAGAAAACGTATTAACCGGAAACGCGAAAAAACAAACATCTCGAAATTGCAATAGAAAAAAAACAGGGTGAATAGAAGAATGAAACAGGTGGAGCTATTCGGAGCGAAAGGTGAATCGTTAGACCGGTCAATACATGGTGGACAGTAGCAGCAGGAGCAACAGCAGTCGAGATTGAATCATAATAATGAGGTGATAAACAAGGCGGAGTTAGTTGGTTCCAAGAGGTGGAGTTATTCAACATCTTGGCGAGGTACGGTTATTGAGGCTGCTGTTTGGCATAGGCTCAGTAATTGTCATTTGGATACGATTTGACTCAATAACATTGTCTATTTTGTATGATGATGTTATAGCAGAATCACGCCATATGCAACAAGCGTTATCCCAAAGAAATTGGATGAATAGCTAAGATGTTAGACTGCGCATTGAGGCATAGTAAAGCTGCTATTAAAGTAGAACGAAGAAGGCATGCAAGCGAGTGATGGCTGATTAACAATTGAATACTTAAATTATTTAGTTAAGGTTATTGAGGTGTTGGGGCCGTAAGCCATGAACCGTGAAGTGAAAATTGTTGACATACTCTGATGGTATGGACTTGTTGTATCTTCTCTTTGTTCGTGTTGCTATTGTTTTTGTTGAGGAAGATGAATTTTTAATGTAAAGCGATGAAGATTTGCTTTCAGGTGGCAAAAACGGTAATGTTGATGAGAACGATGATTACATATGATGAATATTTAATTGGAGAGTAGAGATGAATGACATCAAAAAGCCATATTTCAATCAAACTTATTAGGTACACTTTCGTTCAGCCGACTCTGAATATGAATGTGAATTCAAATTCAAATGAATATTTCATGTTTCATATTGCATCAATTATAAACAGAGATATATGTAAATTTACACATGAATGCATTCATAAATTCATAAATTTGAAAAAGATTGATGTTGTGATTTTGATGGAATTGTCTTATGGTCGGTAGATAGAGTGCTGGTTGCAATTGTAAATGATAAAGTGGAAACGAGGCAAGATGAAAGCGTTTTTCGTTATTGCTTTCTTGAAGATTGTCATATACACAATACATATGTATGTGTATATTCATATAGCGATTTACGAATCATTCGATATGAGATGAAACCAAAAAATACATTCACATTCTTTGTTTTCGCATAAATTTATTCAATTTTCATTAAAAAGTATTCATTTTTGACTAACTGTCTAACTGTAAGATTCCGTCGTTATGAGAGCGATAATGGTGATTGTAGTGATAATAATAATGCACTAATAATGATACTAATAATAATAATAATAATAATAATAATAACAATAGTGTTATATTGAATTTATGAAGGCAAGAAGAAGAAAGAAACAAGAAAAATAGCATCCATCTTAAGAAAATGACATATTACTTTGTGAGTTCAAAGGCTTACCGCCATCACTGGATGCAGTAATGCATGCCGTCTCGTTTCGTCATAGACGAATTCCCACTTTCATTCGCATTTTATTTTGTTCTAAGAAAAGTGAATTTTGAAATGATGATTCTTTCTCAACAAATTCAATGCATCATTTAATCAGTATTCATCAAGAAACACTCATCCCTTTAACATTATACACCTCATCTATCGTAACATGTATCTCTTTCAACTAATATAAATGCAACAGACACGTAATTATAATTAATTTGGAGCCATGCTCTTTGACATTTCTTTATATTTTAATAATACCAACAATAATCACAATGATGATGGCAATAACCGTGATAAAAGTTATAGGAACAATAATAAGACTAATAATAGTTCATGTGCTGACAAATAACGTATTTTCTAAGCATTTTCTCGCTTACGATTTCTCACTAGTTGGTGCGACTACTTTTCAGTTTTTTCAAAAGCTATTTCAGTTAACTCCATTATCATTATAGGATATTGAAGAGGAGTCGTACAGAAAATGAACATACTCAGATGGATTACGGTTGGAAAAGGGTTTTGAGAGTGTTGGTCTTGATGATGGAGGTGTATATACGGCTGGTTGATCAATCACCACTTTTGATTGTTTGCACCCCTTTTCATTCTTAATCATTTCTATAAACAACTATTTTTGATGTTTTTATCTATTTATTTGTCGAATGCATTTGTATTTGTTTGAGTGTGTTGTATGAATAAGAATTGATCAAAGCGTTCCGACTGATATTTTATCTTGACATGTGCTTTGTTTTCGGGTTACTCACTACACACTTTTTCACACGTTTGTGTTTAATTGTAGTGATAATAATAATAATAAGAGTGAAAATATCCTCTGATAATGACTTTGAATCACATTGCGAATTGATTTGAATCGATGATTACGATTAATATGTGATGGATGAATGGGTGTCTAAATGGCGTGACTAATTGAACGATAAGATGTCGATTTTGCTCGGCTGATGAATAATTTTGGATAGCCGAGTTCAAGAGATCGTCATAATGGGGGAATAAATAGTAATATCAGCTTCGATATCACAGTGTTTTCACGTTCTTAGTGTTATCTAAAGAAGGAAATGGGTCGTACTAATATTTATGAGTTCGTTTGTGTATGGCACAGTAGTTCTCATAGGAGGGCGAAAATTCATGCATGAGAAGAATTCGAAGGCGTTGGGGAGGACAGCAAGTTAATGCTGATTAGTTTTTCATTCATTTATCTCATAAATTTTCAATGATTTTTTCAGAGTGTTCGTCTAAGCACAAGAAAGTGATTCCTTTGATTGTGCCGATGTATTGTTGACATTAAACTTCTTGATTAATGGATTAATTTTTGATTTCCGTCTGATATGATAGTGACTGATAGGCTGTTCACAACTCAAAACAGAGAACTTCTCTCTTACACGTAGACTATTGCAAGGGGAATAACGTTCTATTTTACGACTAAGTGGGGTGTAGAATGTAGCACCACTGGTGTAACACCCACATCAGTAATCAATTATACTAATCAGCGTTATTATTTAAGCGTTTGCGTTTCAATTAGACGTTTCCGAATCAGAAAAAGAGTTCGGAAATAACTTGAAACATGGCCGTTACGTCAATCCCAAAGGTGATCGTAATCGATGTGGTCATTGTTTACAGGCGTTTATTGGCGAACTGTTAACAGCAATATTTGGTGATATGTCTGTAAACGAAGAGAAATTAAATGACGTCAGATTGTTGGTTAAGGGGAGTAAGTTTTGAATAGAGAATCAGGACTTTGAGAGTTCTTTGAGCATGCGGTTGAGCTTTTATCTTTTTGATGCAGCATGAACAATTTCAAGCCATGAAACGAGTTACGAAGCTGTAGCACCAGTTGAGGTGACAGCTCTACTGCAGATGACAATATTTCCGAATCGAAATTGTAAATTCCACTATGTCAGGACGATTTATCCATCAAATCAACTGTTCATAATGTAAGCACACGTGTGCGGTGGCGCCCGATAACAGCAAAAGTGTCCCAATATCGTCATTTTGTAATTAATCTGCTATCATTTTTTCGATCTCGTTTCACTTTTGATTCCCATGTCTTTGTTCACTTTGATCTACTTAACTTATCAATTGTGTGACTGCGATATGATGCAATGGCATTGCTAACTGCTATAAATTGATTCATGTTGAGTGACGATGGCGTATTTTCGAAACTTATTCGGTGGTCAAACAGATGAAGCAAGAAGTGATAATGATGCTGAAGTGGTTGAAAAGTATCTGGAACGAGTTGAGACGTCAACAGCTTACGAAGATAGACGAGATGCATTGAGAGCACTACGTTCATTTGCAAAGGTTGTGAATATTGAAATCATCTTTACTTTGCAGTAGTCAATTATGATTGAATGAACAGAAATGAACAACTAAGAAATCGATCACTCACGATTGATCGGGTAGATCTGTTAAGAATAGTGATCGACGATTCATTTTTCATATCAATGAAAGCAAACTTGGGATTAGATCTATCAATTCCGGGAAATAACCGTTATGAAGATAAAATAATGACAAGATACTGAAGTATGTTAAGCCGAACAGTTTCATAAAGTAAAATCGATGGATTCATACACGTCATTGTTTACGGTGCCACTAAGAAACAAAATGAAATCACAACGTCACAAAATATACGATGACGAACTCAATAGCCATTAGTTATCTTCTTAAACATTCTTTACGAATGCTACTGTCAAGTCATTTCTGAACCCTCTAATCATCCAAGTATTAGGACTTTTCTTACCCAATTTCTGAATTAAAATGTACATAACTACGGCTGGTGTGCTACAGTTGGGCTCACTATAGTATAGACCGAAACCGGAGATGAAGAAGTTTCAAAGATCGGTACAGACAAGGTGAGTCCTGGGTGGTCAAATAACGGTGGCAATATCCAATTGATGATGATTTTTATTTTGGGAGTGGGAGCGGCGGTTCGACTCCTCCCGCTGAATTTTTTTTCACTAATGAGTCGCAATAGCCAAATAGTCTTCAAAATGAGATTTCATCACATTTTGTTGCTGCAATCGACCGATAGAGAAATGAAAATGTGGATAGAAATCGAGTTCTCAATTTCAGCCTCACCTTATAAACGTGAGTGGAGAAATCGGAGTGATCTTATGGGCGATTGTGTTTGTTCAGTAGCCTAGTTTCGTTTCGGTACTTGGTCTAATTTTGTGCACTTTTTAGCACTCAAGACTTCGAGTTGGTTCAAATGGCATGGCAGCGTATATTGAGATTTTGGAAAAGGAACGAAACAATCCCGAGATTATTGCGATAACGCTCGAGATTTTGGTTGCGGTCGTTTGTGACGATGATGAAACCAGCGAAGGTTTATTATGATTCAGTGATGATTACGGTTTGATAAGTGTTTCAAGTTGCTTCATAACAGTTGCTTTAAGGGACGGATGAGTTGGGTGAGCGTTTATCGGAGATGATGATCAATAAGAAAGGATTTATTTCGTCGATAATTGCGCTTTTGGAATGCTACGATTTTAATGTTCGCAGGTTATAGCTAGCAAGTATTCGCTCATTCTTTCATTTGAACAACCATCTTTATCGGAAATCGATAATGCTTATAATGCGGAGGTTTTTTAGTGTCACAATGATTTCACTAGTAATGAGGAATGTCACTTTCATCAGCTGTGTGTTTATTATCGATGTTATTGCTCTTGTTATTATTATTGATATTAATGTTATTATTTTCGCGGTTATGATTTATTAATAATAATATTATTATTAATATTATTATTAATTTTTATGATAATAATAATAATATTATTATTGTTATTATTGTGATTATTAAGGTAGTGAATTAATTAGCCATGTAGCATACATTTGTAGGGTTAAAAAAGATGATAATATAATTGTAACGAATTTAATTTGCAGAGCATTAGTGCAGTTGTTGACCGCATTGTTAAGACATCGCGCAAGTGAAGTGCAAAATGCAGTTATGAACGAACCGATGGGAGTTTCAAGATTGGTCGATATTTTACATGAAACAAGAGAGGTTTTAGTTGTTCGCTTTTATTAATATTTCCATCTATAAACGTGAGCCTGGGTTCCAAGCCGATGCGGACTATTGACTTAGCAACATGTTCCGATTATTCGTTTCGAAGGAACAATATTGATATGCAGAAATATATTGCAGGTGGTTCGTAATAACGCGGTGTTGATGCTGAGTGAATTGAGTCGTGCGAATTCACAAATTCAACAACTGCTAGCTTATGAGAACGCGTTTCAGTTACTTTTTGATATTATCGACCTGGAACCTGTTGACAGTAAGTATTAGTTCTTATTACTTATTCAAATTCATCGTCCAAATGCGTGATGCGTAGTAATTACTAGCATAAATACAAATTGATAATCATGAATAATCACTCTGTCACCTCTATACGATCCATCGCGTATGTTGACGTTTCAGCTCGAATTCGTTTATCAATGGGGTGGTTGTGTTGCATTTTATTTGATATCAAATTATGTGCATATATAAAATATAGTGCTGTTGATAAGAAATACATTGAATTTGTTTCAGGTATCGTCATTGAAGACTGTCTTTTCGTTATACTGAATTTGTTACGTAAAAATTCGAGCAATCAGCAGTTATTCCGTGAGGCAAGGTGTGTATCTTTTATTCATTCGCTGACTGATTTATTCCTTTTATTTGATTATTTGTTTGTTTCTTATTGTTCGTGTTATTATTTTATTATTGTTGTTGCTTTCTTTATAATTATTGTCGCAATTGTTATTATTATCAGCTATAATTTTGTATTATTATTGCTGCTATTAGTGGTGCGTTGAATGATGGATTGATGGAAAAAGTTTTAAAAAAGTGAAGAATTTTTCAGTTTGGTTCAACGTTTAGCGTTGATGTTGCATAGTTTTTTGTTTGGTCGCGAGGGCGAGGAGAGTGATTTCGCTGAGAACGATAGTGAGTGGCCACGGCAAAAGATCGCGAATATAATCTTTTTATTGCAAGTGTTACGCAGTTTAGTGTCACCGCGTGAAAATGCACAAACAAATACACATGCAGCGCAGAAAATTATCAATCAATGTGGTGAGTGATTTTATATTTGATACTTCGACAAGTCAGCCTATCAAAAAGATGTTGCAATTTGGTTGATTGTTTGGATTGTTACTGTTATTCGTAATTCAACTCAATTAGGAAACTAATAACAATAGTCGTATGACCTCTGAATATTTACTGAAAAATTGATTGGTGGGTTTCAAATTTTAGTGTTTTGATTGGGTGATAAATTTTAATGTTGCTGTCATAACTATTATTAGTATTGTTATTTTTGTTGTTATTATTATTGTTATTGTTACCATTATTTTTATCATTATTGCAATGATGTTAATGAAGGCATGTTGGGTGAATTGTGCAGCGTGCTGTTGTCGGAAATGGGTGTGCCGGTCGAGGTTCTAACCGAGACAATTATCGCAATAGCTGAAGTTATCCGTGGTAGTTACTCGAATCAAGAGTATTTTGCCGCACGTCAACTTCTCACTAATGTCGGTAGTCGGTGAGTGTTTTCAATTTACGGTTTTTAATTTCAGTTGTTGTTGTTTTAGATATTGTATATTTATAATAGTAATAGTAATATGGTGTTAACTTTGTTATAGTTGTTGTTATTATTGTTTCATTTTTTCTCTAATTATTATTGTAATGAACGCGTTAAGGCCGTCGTTGTTGGTATTGCTAACGTCGATGACTACCGAAAAGCAGTCATTTAAGTTGCGATGTGCCGTTTTTTATTGTTTTCTGTCGTATCTGTATGATAATGAAATCGGCAAAACAAAGGTTCCCATTGTTGTTATTGTCGTTATTGCTGTGATTATTGCTATCATCATCAGTGTTTTAATTTGTATTTCGAACTGCAATGAGTACTCACTGATTCGCTCGTTTTTAATTCGATCACGAAGGCAAAAGTTCACAGTTGATAAATCATATCATCGCAATAAAATGATCCATAGCGATTTTTAGTAATAGTGATAACATTAATAATATCAATAGTAATGATAATAGTAATAATAATAATAACAATAAAAGAGTCAGTTTATCATCAAATTAAGACTATCGATACTCTATTGCCATCGGGTGTTTCGAATGATTCCACATTTACGACTGGTCAGTGTATATGCTCGGCGATAGTAAGTATGGAATCAGTTCAGGTATCTAATTGTTTTTTGTTTTCTGTCGTATCTGTACGATAATCAAACCGACAAAACAAAGATTCTTATTGTCATTACTATCGTTATTGCTGTGATTATTGCCATCATCATTGGTATTTAAGTTGCATTTCAATGAATGCTCATCATTTTATCACTTATTCAGACAGTGTCGTACAAAGTGAGGTTATCTTAAAAACGAACTGAACTACTATACGCTGAAATGGATTGTATAATTAGGATTGGTGCAGAAAATTTGTTTTTGAAAATTAAATGAATAAAAATGAAGTTGTTGAATTGAAGGTTTGGATGGGATGTGTTTGTTTGATGCATTGTTTGTTTGATACGGACCACTTGAAAGAACAACTCCTCAGAGTTCAGTTGACCACCGATTCAGCACAGCCACCGTCATCACTGTTACAACATATTTCGAATCTTTTGGTGTGGTGAAATTTTTTTGAGTTTTTTTTAATTGTTGGTGGTACCATCAATAATCGTAATCAGTTTTATTAGTGCTATTGTTGTTGCTAATGTTGTAAATGTTAAGATTATTACTGCTATAATGAATGAATTGTAGGTCTCTCTAGGCAATCGTAAGCCTCAAATACGTTGTGCATTGTTGATGCTGTTAGCCGTATGGCTACATCGTTGTCCATTAGCCGTGAAACAGTTCATTCAAATTGAAGAATGCATTCAATATTTGACAACGCATATTGGTTTGTCGCTTATTTTTGTGTATTGATTTGATCGTAATGTTTGAACGTAATTGTTGCTTGATTTAAAGACGAATGCGGAGCAGAGGGAACAGAGGACGAGAATCAAGTGACGAAAGGTTTAATGGCACTTGTGTTAGCTCTGTGCTTGTTGTACGGCGCTGATGAAAGTGGTACGGATAACAAGTTGGTTTTATTTTCAACGACGATTAAGTTTTTTAGTGTTTGTAACATGATTGCAATATTGTCTGTTACATTTTATGGTTCATATTGGTAGTGTTATTAGTGAACGAGTGAAAATGTTAGTCGTCCACTAGAGAATTTAATCGTTGAAATTCTCCAAACAAAATTCCGGATTTTTTGATTGGAACTCATGTTGGACGCGAGGGGATTGAAGAAAGGATGGAGTTGTTTTATTTGCGAATTATATTCTCACTTTTAGTCATCGCTGACTGATAATGACATATCACATTTCAGAACCAATTCGTTGAGTGTAATTGTTGAGCGTCGTGTTGGAAATGAGAAAATATTCGAGCTGCTCGAAGGTGTTTCAAGAAGTGAGCATTACGTACGTGCTGCACAACGTCCTCAACCACTGTCGAAAAGCGCCAACGAAATGCTTTTGGATTACCAGTTTACGAAACTTTTCAAACTTCTTGAAAGTGAGACGTTTGTATTTAATAATTTTAAGTTGATTGAACCGTCGACTTTCTCCAAACAAAATTCCGGATTTTTTGATTGGAATCTAAACAGCGAATGATCCATTTTTGCGATTTCAAAAATTGGTAACTATCAAAAGTTCGCTCAGTTACCATTTCTAGTTGATATGTACTAAATATGTCCAGCTGTTGCGTGCTGTGTTCAGTTTTTTGACAGTTCATTCCGTCATTTGTTTTATTATTCGTTTGTTTGTTGCTGATCTATTTGTTTATTGTTTATTTATTAAAAAGTAAAAATGTGATACGAAAAATATCTTCTTAATTCTCGTCTTCTAATTGTTTTTCAGATCAAATCGGCAAGCAGTTAAGACGTCCGCTGAATGCGGATGGTAGTTGTTCGCTATCATCAGCGAATGTGATGAACGGTAGTAATGATAGTAATGTGGTTGCATCATTTAAAGAGCTAATTAAGCGTCAAGATGAGACGATTGCATCGTTGAATCAACAGATCAAGAAGTTAAACGCTGATCGCGAGATGGTCAACTCGAAAGCGGTATAAGTTGATTTGTTTGCATCTTCTCTTCGTTTTTTTGCTTTCTTTCGATTGCTGTCTTTCATCGTAGCGGAGTTTGTTTTAATTGCAACAGTAGTCAACATTGCGGTAGCCTTAGTTGTTGCTTTGATTAATTTAAGTTGGTGATTAAAAATTGATTGGGAATATGTATGACATTTGGTGTTGTTTTGACATTTCGTCATGCAGAACGAAAGCAGTCAAGAGACCGTACGTGAATTGGCGCAATTACGGCAGAAATTAGCTGCGTTGGAATGCGATGAGAACGATCGAAAACAAGCCGAGCAACCGCATTTAGAGCATTACAAAAAGTGAGCAAAATTTTACTTCAAATAATATGCCAGTTATAGAACTTTTTTTGTAAAGTTTGGTGGAACTTGATCAGGGGAACTTGAACGGTGAGCGAATGGCTGATATGATATGTGTTTCAGTCGCCAGATTACTCTTTTCTTCAATTTAAGACTTAGCTTCAGACTTAAATGTAGGGCACAAATTCAGATGACTAAATTTTCACGTAAAAAATTTCGAAGCACGATTCCTCTGTTCACACTGACGCCTAAGGACCTTTTGAACTGTGTTGGTGGTCCGGTTTTGGGCGTAGTTGATGGAGATATACATAAGTTTGTGCTTGTGTCTTATAAACTGTATTCATTACTTTTTCAAATGATTCGCATTCTTGCTTAAATTTTTATGTGATCAATTCATAGTTGTGCTGTCGCCTCAAATGTTTTTGGTAAGCGCTTGTTGATTAACCAGAATCGTTGATCCGTAATCACTGTCAGTTATTATCATCAGTTATCGAATATTCGAGCAAAATTGATGATGAAATGAAATTTAAGTATCGCAACGCAGTGGCAAAATGAGGCGTTGCGCTATCAACAGTGGGCAGAACAATGGCAGCAGTATCAAATTGCACAAGTTGGTCGATGTCTTATCAAACATTGTTGTGGATTTAGATTCCGTTTACAAATGTCTAAAGGAATTATTCCAGTTTTTATATGGATTGATTGTCGTTTGCTTGTTTTTATTCATCTTCCAAAGAAATGTTTTCACCTTTGAAAAGAATATCATCATCTGAAGTGGAAAAAAACTAATGGGTCAATATAAATTGTCATTCTGAAAGTTAATGACAGTGATGATAATTGAATGAAAACGACGATTAATAATAATGATGGTATTAGTAAGTACAATATTGGTAATTATAAAGAGGAAAGGAAAAACTACTGAATAGGGTTGATTGATTGATGGATAAATGAGTTTTTTCTTCATGGAAATGGTAAGGAATTTTTATTCTCTTGCAGTTGGTTGCTGAAAATAGTGGAGAAAAGGCGGTAATCGATCAGTTGAGTGGTCAGTTGAAAGAGTTGGAAGGGCAACTAAATTATGGATGGCAATCGTTTGAAACGCAAGGCGCTCAGTTGGCTACCATATCAGCACAGTTGGTTGAAGCGAATGCGAAGATTCGGAAACTGGAACAAGAATTAGAAGCCGAAAAGGCTGCAACACGATATTCATCAGAAGCTGCACAACTGCAGATAGTGACAACAGATACAACAACAGCAACAAATAATATGATGACAACGGCAGCGGTTCAGTCAAACGAAAATGGAAGTAGTAATGCTCCGGTAATGATGACCTCATCGATGAATAAGGTGCGTTTTTGTTTGATTGATTGATCAGTTAATTGATACAGCTGTTAATGTCGATTGATACATCGTTGTGTGAATTAAGATAGGTGAAAGTAAAGAAGAATGCACTTCATTTCAGTTATCTTATGATCGCATTTTGAAATAGTGAGAATTTTTATATTTATATGAGTGATTTTTTTGTCACATGATTGTGGCATTTATGCTTCGGTTTGTTATTTTAAGTTAGGCATTTTGTTGAACGAGTAAGTTTAACGAGCAGTATCGTTGTTGTTATTGGGAATTTTTATTGTTATTGAGACTGGTGTTATTATTACGATTTGTATTTTAGCAGCAAGCTATCGTTGAAACTGAAGAGTTGATTGCGTTGAGAAGAGAACATGAAGATTTGTTGGTGCTGTTAGCAGATCAAGACGCGAAGCTGTCGCAGTATAGGCAAAGATTAATGAATTTGGGACAGACAGTGACTGACGATGAAGAGGATGATGAGGAAGGTGAAAACAACGGGGACGGAGTTTCAGCGGGCGTATAGGAAACTCGGGATTAACTGGAGTTGTTCGATGATTTGTGTTTGGTTTTGGGTGATATTTATTAAATCATTTATTGACTTGTTTGATTGTGATGTGAATGATTAGTTCATTCGTTTTGTATTAATGTATTCGAAATGTTGAGGCGAAAGGGTTGGTGAAAGGTGATAATTTATGATGAATGTTTATGTTAATTGGATGTTTTTCTTACAGTTTAAGTTGGTGTTTTGTATATGTCGAGGGCAGTTTATTTGTTGCTTTTTGAATGGAAGTGGTATATTTAAGTGTATGTTGGAGTTCAAGTGCTAAATTCCAACAAAATGAATGTGATTGTTTTTAGTTGTTTGTTGGGGTTGTTGATTGGTCGCATATTACGTCCTTAGTTTTTATTTTATTTTTTATTTTTTGAAAATTGTTTATTATTATAATTAGTATTATTGTTATTACCATTTGTTTTTCGTATTATTATAATTACTATTTGTTACATTCAGTTGTTTTTGTTCTTTGTTATTGTTATCGTTATTGTGATCATTAAGAATTGGTTGTTATTACAGTTGTGATCAAATAGTAACAGTTGAATTAATGTTAAGAATTCCTCTGTGTCTTATCCCTCTTAATCTTGGTTCAGTTTGGAGAATTGAAATAAAATTATGCGAACAAAAAAGAATCACATCTATCCATTAAAAAATTAAAATTTATTCACTTCTGTTATTTCATTTATATGAAATAATTTATGAAAACGTTGTTTTAAATATTCAAATTCTTTGAAGTAAATGGTACGTACGCTAAGAGAATATTGTTCTTATTAGTTTCGTGGATGATGGATATGTTATATTGCTTTATGAATATGTTATGGTTGCAGCTATCTTATTTTTCTTGTCCTTCTCATCATTATTATATGTTTATCATTTTCAGTTCTTCATTCGTAATCCTCGGTACGTGTGTGATCATCAAATATTTCTCTGTTTGTGTTTAAATGGCGCATCTGATTATTTATTTCAATCATTCAGAAATATTTCCAACTTGGATGGATTATTCGTATGTTCAAAGTCGTGTACAAGATACAACTCGTTGTACTCAGTTGTATGCATTCAGTCTGAATATATAATCCCTATCGGATGTATACGGTGCTGCGTCTGGCCTTAAAGTTCAATTGACGAGGAATTCTATCGTGAAATTGGCTTTCTAACGCGAACGACATTCGATACATCATAATGGCAAAGAAAAGTTTACGGATTTGAATAAATGGTCGATGGAATGGAGTGGCACTATGAGGGGGTTTTGTTGATATGAAGTTTTACTTTACTACTTTCCTGTCTTTTTTTTCAGTTGATTTTATTTGATATTAGTGCATTCGTCCGGACGCGTATATATTGATGAATGTTGTCGGTACATTTGCACATTTTCCTTAAATCTTGTGATGTCGGATTTGTTCAAATTATTGTTTTTGTAACCTCTCAAAATAGTATCCAATATCACCAATGCCCTCTCCATTCCGATTATCAGAATTAGATTCGTTGATATTGCTCGAGCTATAGTTATGTTGTTGAAGTGGAATAACCTCTATTTGGAGTTGATTCTGAGCGAAGTGTTCTGTTGAATTCGACGAAGAATTTTTTTGTGAACAATCGAGTGAATTTTCTTCAAGGATTGTTTGTTCGATTCATTCTGTTTGTTTTTTGTTTATTTGTTAATTCGATTGCTTGTTTGTCTATTTGTTTAATTATTCACTTGTTGTCTATTTTCATCATTACTGTTATTATTATTTGTTATTACTATCATGTATAGTATTATTTATCAGAACCATAATATTTTATAGTGCAGTAAAATGAAGAAAAAAAACAATGTTTCTGACTCGTTTCTTACTATAAAATGTTCGATTTGAGTGGGGTCAGAGCTAATCTCTGTACGAGAGCGAAAAGCCAAGTTTTTGAAAGAAAAATCGCCTTGTTTACGACCCGAATAACCGAAGGGGACTCGGTCAGCGGGGATTGTTTTCAGGTATATGTGTAGTGAAAGGGGTGCATGAATTGAGGAAGAGTGTTTTATTGAGATGACTGGAAGTAAAAAAAAGGTGTGATGGACGGATGGATGTGAGAACTGAATGATGAATAAGAAGTGATAAAGACGAATATTCGTGGGTGATTTTTGTTGTTTTATGTCGCGAATTTGATCTCCTTTCGTCCGATCCCATCAGTTTGTGTTGATTCGATCTGATCATGAATCGACTGATCGGCCTAAGTGAATCGAATCTGCTCAGCTCTGATCGTCTGAAATATAATAATCGGTCAATGGATTGATCATCGCAGGGACGAAGATCGCGTCGATTTTATGGATTTTATCGGTTCCATGAATGATCTCTCAGTTGACCTAACGACCGATCGTCGTCGACTGGTAATAATCCACTTAGCATGCAAACGATCAACGAACTAAAACTGGCATTTATTGGGTCACAGATGATGTGCGATCAGTGGTAAGTTGATGATGTGGATGGACCTATGGATAATGCGTGATAAATCGAGCGCTAGTTTAATCAATAGTCGTTTCGTTGAGAGCGATTGTAAGATGACCGACGACAAGAAAAGTTTAGAGAAGAGTGTTGATATTGTTTCATCAACAATGTGAATATCGCGTGCGTAAATCATTGTCGCGTCTAGTATTTCGGCATCTTGTTAAGATTTAAATGAAAAACCACTGATGCTAGATCGATACTATCTGATGGTCATAAAAGAATTGATTGAAATGAGATATGAAATGGGGTTTTGAACTCACTTCAAGAATCTCATTTCACATCTCTTCATCTCCTCTTAATCCTGTTTTATGGAGAGACATGAAATGAAGATGGTGCATGAAATCGGATCAATGATCACTAACGGATTTTTATTACAAATTTCATTTCTTATGCCCTAATTTCACTTTCCATCGCGTTTCTTTTCTTAGATCTTATTTTCTAACATCATAAATTATGTTCATCATTATTCATCTTCTGTTGCTCTTAGAAAATATTCAAGAGACACTACATTATCACTAATGCAAATCTAAACGTTATCACTGTTATTGTACTCAATAAAATTGTTGAAATTTCATTCTCATTCATTCTCACATCGCTCTATTATTTGTTACTTCATTCATTTTCGTTGAATTTGATTTTCAGTTTATCTTGGACAATCGAACTGATCGCAACGAACAATAATAAGGAATCTTATGAAATAACGAACACTTCAGCCAAGTGACCAATCAAAAAAATGTCCTCTAGCTTGTTTTCTCCATTGTCCAAAAAGCGTTTTTTCAAAAATGCTGTATTTTTGTCCAGTGATCATTCCTCACTGATATCCAATAAGGGCAATATGCAAAAGCAGACCACTGAACAACTACAACATCAAATGGTTACATCTGCGTCAGAATCATGTCCAAATACGCATTTGAATGCTGATTATCAATCTGGTGGTAGTGATGGGAATGTAAACGATCACAATCATTTCAACGATTCATTTTGCACATCTACTCGCCATCCTCGATGTACTCCTCAACGTTTTGACACCTCATCCAAAACAGCAATTTCATCCAAATATTTTATACTGCTTTTGGTCGTCCTTCTTTACGAAGATGTTACTAAAATTCTCTTCGGTCCATCATCCTCATCACTACTTCTCTTGCGAGCATGTGATGCTACTGATGTTAATGCGGCTGCTGAACAGAAGTTCAGACGAGAGCTACGCTATTTGGATCATTATTTGGGCATTAAGCCACATCGACAAGGCCAACTCCCTCGAGGTGTACTCAATTCTGTTCTATTTGCTAGTTGCCATTTGTCATCTAATAATGCATGAAGTGAACTAATTTTTCGTTAGAATAGTACTATTCATTGTAATAACATAAATGTGTAATGAAAAAAGGACTAAGGCCAACTGAAAATGAGATGGCAAGACTACTCCTGCGGGACAGACATGGATGAGAAAAGTGCCTCATAGTGATGAGAACTGTGATGATCTAAAAAAAAGTTTTATGCGCAAAATGCACGTTAATGAGCTTGATAAATGAATAAATGTGATAAAATTGAAGATTCCTCAGCGGAGCACTATATACGAAACGCATCCCAGTTGAATTGTGAGTTAAACGAAGAATCTTGCGCATGGCAAAATGCTGAAACAGATCACTTGCTAGACACGTCCGACTTCTATAGGTTCATCAAAGCTGATGATGAAATGTTCCCGTTACAAGTACGCGTTGGTGATCCTCATCCACGAATTGGTAATATCGTAAAACAATGATCAACAAATTTCATAACGTATCTATCTATTCATCTATCTGTCCACACTCAAAACTTATGCCACCAAAAAGTTGGATTTTTTGACCTCAGATCAACCCAAACTGTCGCAGCTACGAGGTTTATGATGCACCTACGGTTGTTTCTATTTCAGGTTCACTATTCTTGTTGGCTGGAAATTCTACGTCAACACCTCAGAGCGCAGTTCTTGTCAGCGCACCGCTTGCGTGTCAGAAATCTTATGGAGAATTGAGCTTCAAGTGAGCATTCAGCTAACCGACTGCAATATTCTATCCGTTAATTGGCTGTTTATCCATTCAGTTTTATTGCCTGTTTCAGTTTCATCAATAAATTTCAACTGTGCTCATAAAATCACTCGGTAGTTTCAATTTTGATTGCTTCAGATACTGGCTTTACGGTAATGCGCTTATTGAAGTGGTTGTATTGAAGCCGATGAATCCACAACGACGACGATTGCAGGTGCTGAACAACAAATCAAGCTAATTCAGCTGCAAGCTAACGCTTAGAACTGAGTGCACTTGAGCTGTCATAATCAAATCTAAACTAGCCATAAACTTTTTTGAGGAAATACGTAAAACATCATTCACAATTGAATTTTGTATTGCTGTTCATCGAGTATTCATGCCTCTAAATGCCCCATACGAACAGGGAACGCAAAATTAATTAGTTCCACTTTTGATTTTCATGACTGCTTGTGAACAGAAAGAAATTTTGTCGACTGAGAATATTTTGAAGGTTTTACGTCGTGTGCCAATGCAATGCCATGCACTGAGACCAACAAATGAGACGTGTCTGGTGAAAATACCAGATATGAGTGAGCCGTTTCGCTTGGGCATACGAGCGTTTCATCTACAAGACAAATCGACAGGAAGTTTCGTGATGATTTCAAATATACATTATGTGGCTAATGGCATTTGCCATGAGACAAGTAGGCGACACTCAATCCATTTTTATTATTCACTGAATGAAAAAATCACTCGTGTATCAAAAAATAATAATAGACGCTCTCATCAGCATTATCAAATATATTCGGTGGACGTGCACTGCCTTGGAATACGGTTCAACATGCAATCGCACAACGTGCATCCGATTTCAACTGTATCGACTTTACGAGAGCATGTCGATGGTCCACTTCGATTGGCACTAATTCCGAGTGGAAAGTTTCAAACAATCTCAAAAAATGGTCCGAGTTTATGCATACAAAAACACACTACCCAAACGGCACCTACTTCTATCAGTATGTTGATGGTATGAACAAGAAGCCGTACGCATTGCTTCAATCTGAAATGATTCCATGCACTCGAACTGTCTCATCTCTATCATTCAGGTTTACTAAACCTATTTCATTTTTCTTTCCAGCCAGTTAGAACGATTACTTCTAGAACACACACTTATGCTAGCGAACGTGCCGTCAAGTCAAAAGTTGAACTGACTTAACCTCGAGCATAGGTTTAGTCTTAATCTAACTGTACGGTTTAGGCATACGCCTTACGATTACACTAGAACTCCATCTCCGAAGTTGAACTCATTCATTCGTTCTTTTTAACGGGACAGACTGTTCACTATCATATCATTATCTATTGTACAGTTGCGGACTATATTTAAAGATACTGGCTGAGACCAGGAACGCAGGTGCAGATCTGTTCGATGACTGATTTGAACGTTGTGATCAGTTGTGCTTACTTGAGTGATCTCGATTCACCAGGACCGATCAACGTCGATGTTGATGCCCCATCCGATGAACCGTTCCGTGTTCGTCGCTTATCTCTTTCAAATATCATTATTAATAATACTACAACTATTGTTATTATTATTATTATTATTATTAATGATTTTTCCTATATTTATTTATCACTTCATATTGTCATTATTATTTCGATGGAAGAAAAATTTCCCGGAAATTTTGAAATTTAAAATCCGTAACACAGCACAGAATTATTACTGAGGCATGTCCTCTTAAAAACTTATAATGTTTCTTTTGATCCCTGTTCTACAAATATTCCAAAGCGCAGTTCTATGCTTCTCTTTCTGTCCAAGCCGGAAACGCTCAAAGGCGTGCTTTTTGGAAACTTGTGTAATTGAAAAAACCAAAGTTGCTGTCAAATGATGCGCAAATTAAGCATGTGCGATAGTTTTAGTTCGTCTTTGAAATGATAGAATTCGATCGTTCCAAAAGTGGTCTTGTGGTAATTGACGACTTACAATATACCGGTAAACTCTGTAGTGAACCAGTCGAGCCAAAAACAACCACAATTAATCCTCTTTTCATCGCAGATTTGTTCGCATTACAGCCTGGACCTCAAGGAGTTCAAGTAAAATTCACTTTGATCTTGTGTTCATTCTTCATCGTTATCATTACGATTATAATACATTCTGAATGGTTATTCTTAATGTTACTTTCAATCGATCCTTTTCCTTGCATGTTTCTGAGTATGTCCATCTGTTTTCTTACAGGAATATTCAACATCATTGGATTGTGACTTTGAAGTTGATTTTTGTACACAATGGGAAAGTGACGGTAAATGGGAGTACGGTGTTACGCCGAATCAGGAATTCTTCGAGTGGCCGTCAATTATCGAAGGAAATGTTGTTGTTGCCGTGTTGAATGCTAGTATCGGTCTGAATACGGCGATATTGCAGTCTCGTTTAGTACCTTGTGCAAGAAACGCAACAGTAACGATCACTTATTATCGCTCAGATAACGCTCACTTACGAATGTGTATCCGAGAAAGATGCGTTCAAGCTGATGACACTTATGGTACTATTACTACACACCTACAATTTGATTTTTTCACTCAGTTTGTTTTGCTCTTTGTTCATTTATTGTCTAGAATTGATTTGGTTTTTGTTTGAGGTAATCTCACGATCGATGCGATCTCAGAAGAATCACCGTTCAACATTCGAATAATCGCCGATTCTAGTGGTAGAGCGGCATCGATTGCAATTATTCGTCGTATTGATACAAGTGGTGAGGTGTGTGAGTTACCATCACTGAATAAACTCGCTTGTGAAGCACTTCAATGTGACTTTAAAGAAGATCGTTGTGCTGCTTACACAAATGATGCTCACATCGATGCTGCTAATGGTCCACGATTTGAACTGGTTGAGCAGTTAAACGACGGTAGACTGCCATCATCAGCAAATGCAAGTTTGAAAGCTACAATCGACGGTCGAAATGGTGTGATGGCCATCCTTCATTCACCTCGATTTCAGTTGACCAGGCCAATTGAAATGGAAATCATGGTTCGTTATTGTGGTTTTTTTTTGAAATTTGATTCAGTTGATAACTATTCTTCTTAAAATCAACTACCATATCATAATATCACTCCAGAAATGATGTAAAATACAGAAATAAATTCTACTGATTGTGACATTGTTGCAGCTTCATCAGCCAACTTTTGGCTCACAAACGTTCGTTTGCGCCGATGATGAAGCCGTTAGTGGTGGCGCTCAATCGTCGCAAACGAGACAGTCAAATAACGATAGGGTTACCACAAGCTCACATCAGATAACCACGGCGAATTTTGAACATTGCCAGTTGATTCAAGGACCTAAAATCGACATTCCTCGAGTCACACCAATTCGGTTCTTGATTGACACGAACGTTGAACGCTTTTCGCTGATCGCTTTCCACGATAAAGCTGCACAGTTCGGTACGGCCACCTTTACGATAACTTCAATTCGAGTACTCGATGCAGATTTTGGCCAATCCATTTGCTGATGATCTGAAAGAACTCGGGCACTGTTTGCAGAACGCCATCATTTGCTCCTCTCCTTCATTCACAAACGAATGCGACACAAATAATTTATTTTCTTTCTTTTGTTTGAAACGTGTACATAGTTTTCGAATAGTGTTCATGTGTCTTTATGCCATAATAAATGAATGTGTGATAATGAAACGAAAATGAGTACGGCCGTTCTATAGAGAACTAAAATCTATCAGAATCTGTTTTCAGTTTGCACGCTATGCGAAACTATTTTTAAGTGGTGCCATCGAAATAAGAAATATCATGAAACGATGGGAGGGGGGAACATGCACATGGTAGAGCAATTACGGTACAGTGGAACGAGTGTTAACGAAATAAAGCTCAAAGATAGAGTTACAAAGAAAAGCTGTTCATTAAGACGGGTGTAAATTTCTAAAAAAACTTGACCCCGTTTCCACTAGCCGTGGAGCGACCTGAAAATTCGCGAATTAGCTTGATGGAATTGCAGAGGGATCAAGAGACGTCCTCAACAGCAAAAGGTTCGAGAACAGTTTTTCAACTCATCCTAATTGACCTGCATGTCAACAAACCCACAACAATAACAAAGAAACCTATTAAGGTTATTGTCCAATAGTTCACCACCACCATTTTTTCGTTCAACAATGACTAATTTGATATTTATCATAATGATAATAAGCAGCAGAAGCAGCACAACAAACACACAATAACGTTGCCTTCATGCGACCAAATCAACTCGAATCACATCAGATCGATTAATTTGAATTCCATGTGCCTAAACTATGCGTATTCCACGATCAACAACAATCGGATATATAATCGAAATCACAAACAGAATAAAGCTATCTATGAATGAATGAATAACCTAAATACTAATTGAACTAACAGTAAATAAATAACTGTTTGAATTATTATAATGATATTGTTATTACACAGTATGCATTTTCAATGAAACAAACTAATCAAAAAATTCTCTTGTTAATTATCGATACACGAAGTCAATGCACTGACACAATCTAATTGAATTGAAAAAATCAATTTACTCCCCAATTTTCTCATCTTTGGACATTGCCTCCAAATCCCCCCCCCCCCACACCGAGATGATGAGATTAGAGAAAGCAGACCAGTTTTTACTCCGCTCAATAAGAAAGGCATTATGAAAACAAGGACAAAAGTAGAAGCAAAACAGAGAGGTTGTGAGCTAAAATGGGTACGCACACGTAACAGAAATAATGAGAGGGCAACAATTAACAATAAAAACACAACTGTAACATTACCATCTTATCATGACCAAGAGTAAAAACAACGTAGACTTTCATAGAATTTATAACAACTACTAAACAATTCTTATTTCCATAATATTACACAAGTTGAAGCGATTCAAACATTCATTGCGGGTATGCCAAATGGTGCCATATTCGGCGATGCCTCCACACCACTGCTGATATTACCACCGCTACTAGTAGATTTGGCTGGTTTCGTGGGTAAACTTAACGGGTCTTCGAGTTCCGGTGAAGGCGGAGCGGTTGGATCTAACATTGAACCCATCCACCTTGCAGTTATTAAACCCACACCTTCGATCATCGCCAATATTACAGCACCCAATACTGCTGATCCAACCATCACCTGCAAAATCCACCCATCCAATCATTCCATCGAACTAAAGAACAAGCAGATAAATAAGTAAATGAACAAACAATCGAATAGACAGGCCATTTGTTGCGTCAATGCTCACCTTTGGACCACTTCGTACGGCTAGAAAAGCACCCGTGAGGCCACCCGAAACGATTGAATTGATTGGATCCTCCTGCAATACATGAATAAAGAAACAAACAAGTCAATCTACGAACAATAATCGCAGAAAATAAACAAATGAATAAATAATCAACTGCCCTCGAAAATTACGTATTCAAATGAGTTGAGGTGAACAAACGAATAAAAAAACAGAGAATGAAAATTCTGTGAAAAAATGATTTAATTATATATCAACATTAAGAGCCCATGTCCCTCTTCTCTCGTCAGCATAATATGACATGTGGATATTATGCGTTAAGTTAAACGACTTGAATATATGGACAGGTAAAGAGACGGACTCTCTGCAACTGAATTACTACTCTACCGCGAAATTTTGGTATTAATCTGACAGTTCGAAGAATGAGGTGATCATCAAGTATGAGCGTTTGAATTTAAATCTACTATAACTCGTTATGAAAATAAAAGTAAAAGAAGCAAGCTGACAATGAAATGATAATGATTATTATAAGAACCTTCTTTCTTAGTGCCACCATGGTGCAATCAATCGTACTGAACATACCACCCCAAGCGGCGAATTGAACACCTGTTAAGGGACCTCGCATTCGAACCTATAATATTAGTGATAGCACATTTTATTAGATGACGATACCATAATATTATGACTGAAGCTGTATGAAAAGAAAACGACAACAACACATTACAATTGTAGTGAAAAATGAAACCTCTCTAAACATTCCGCGAATCTTTTGACCTGCTGCTGCATTCCTAAAACCGTTAAACGAGTGAAAAATCGATCCACCAACCAAACCCATCGCATACGCACTACCAATGTCATCACCAATTCGATACGGACTACAAGTGGCATTCGCAGAGTTTATATCAAGGTAGATTGCCGCATAAGAGATGTTGCCTTTCAGCCAACACAAAATGTGTGAATTTAAGTACGTATCCAACACAAAGCAAAGATATAAAATATGAAATAACTGCATCCAATTTCTTTACAAATGAAGAGCCGTCTAATTCGCACAAAAATTCAACCGTTCAAAAATCGAAGTTTAGGTAGAGGCGAAGTTAATTGTGAGTTTCAGCTCAAGATTGGATGGAATCATGGAGATGAAACAGAAATGGAAAGGCAGTGGGACATTAAGAAAGACGTATACTTACCATGGCTCACGACTGTACTCTTCCATTATTACTATTACTGTTGTAGCGAATTGTTATTAAAATGCAAAATATGAAGATTCGCAGTAGTGCTAACAATAATGGTAGTGTTGTTGTGAACCAATATTGCTATTGTTTGAATAATCAACTGGTAGATTAGATGATCAAAAGCACACACCAAGGACAATTTTTAAGAATTAAAAAAATGCCTCTGCGATCGATCAGTCAGTTTTTGTCGCTAAAAACAAACAAGCGTTGTTGTTGTCGTCGTATAATGAGGAATAAACGAGTGCCCAAGGAACGAGAAAATAACTGAAAGACTATCTCAAGTTCAATCCGACCATACGACTTGACTTAGGCTTAATAACAACATATCATGATGAATGTCAACAACACAGCCGACGTCTAAGTAACTGAGTGATAATTTTGTAAAAAGCACTGGTTATAATTGTGGATCACTACAGAAACAATAATAATTAGAACAGCAACGCAATCACTGTTGCGAATCGAAAGAACTCCTACTATAGCTGAAGGGCTACATAGACGCACGCACAGAAACATTCCCGCCTTGGTAATCTTGTATTTTAGGGTTGGTAAAATCAAGACGACATTTCGTTCATATTTGCAGTTGAACATGCTACTTAGTTAGAGCACAGCAAGAAATGTTCGCACGAATGAAATGCCGTTGTGATTTTACCAACCTGAAATACAACGTTACCTGAACGTATCAGCGGGCGGTACAGCTCCTCAGCTATAGAAGTACCCGAAAATAATAGAAAGCCACAGTAGCTTTTACTCGTCCTCACGTCTTCTGGATCATAACAAAAATAATCCCTGCATCTTAAGTCTAGAAGAAAGGAGGTGTGGTCCAACACACACAGAAAACGCATCCGCCATCGTATGAAGACGTTGTGCCACAGCTCTCTCCGCATATTAACAACTGCTTTCTCCAATAAGGAGAAGTATGTCAACTGAAATTAATTCAGTTTGAGTAAATAAACGTGATCGCAGCTAATTGTGATCCGTGCAACGAGAAATAAACCAGTGATAAACACTAGGCAACGACTGGGTATGGTTTGGATCCGTAGTATGAACGTA